CATTAAAAAAATTATGTTGACTGCGGCGACACTAAATCAGTAAAAATAATAATCTTTAATAAAAATATATATAAAAGTTTAAATATAGCTACACATTTCCCCCCTCCTGCACCTAGCTCACTACGGCTCACTTCGCGCTTAATAATTCAATTCCTCCCTGCAAAATATCGTAATATCGGGTAATCATCCTCCTGGACAAAAACAAAAAAATAACCAAAAGATGATCTTTTATAGTAAACAACATTTGAACTTTCTTAAAACATCGTTGTGATCTTGTCACGTTCGTTGTTTTATAACGATTAACATTCATTAAGGGGCATCTTGGATTGATGGGATGCACAAAAATCCACGTCTTTCAATCCCCTATATAACCATTAAGATCTACTAATTTTTAAACATCATATAAATTAAAGAGGCCTTGCAATATTTTTTTTATCTTTTTACTAGATTATCGCTTGTTATTATGCAAATATTATGTTGGTGTTTGACTCTTTTGTTTGTAATGTTAGAGATTCTTTTATCCCTTTGTTACAATACATATACATTATAAACATACATCCAGTATATACAATATCCAGACAGAAGAACTATTTATTTTATGCGGATTGCTAATAAAGAAAATAGTTACGGTTTTCAAAATAAAATATCAGTAAGATCCCTGACCAATTTCAATGTAATTTCTGTTCCATGTGAGCTTTTATGTTTTCTAATTTTATTGATTTTCAGTTTCTGTAAAACACATTCACTTCAGTACGGAAGATGGTTATTTAGTTTATAACCCCACGGTGGGGTATTTTAGGTTAGGGAGTCATGGGGAGGACTGGCATTTGTCTTTGTTTCATGGTGAGAATGGACAAAATGAATATATTCTGATAATCTTTTCGTTTACAAACATTATATGAATTGAAGCTAGCATTATTTTTTAATAATTTAAATTTATAATTACTTTTCATATATTTATCCTTGAATGGATCTTGTAAACCCGCAATATATTCAGATGTCGAGCTTTTTTGGAAGAAAAACATAAATTTTATAGCAAAAGTACGCAAAGCGGTTTCGGCATAATCTAAATATATAAATAAATTCTATAACAGCCATATAGAAAAGATATAGGGGCGTCGGCAGCACGTCAAAAAATTGATTCAATCAGAGTAGCGTGTAGAAAAATCCTATTTTAAGAGTATTCAATGAAATTGCGGGTTTTCGGTCGAAATTCTTACCTGAAATATAACATTAAACAACTTAGAGACTTCTCTCAAAAAAAATTCTTAAACGGCCAAGCCTTACTGAACATAAATTAGAGGTTTATGGAATAAACTCATTTTGGCTGACTTAACCTCCCCCCCCCCCCCTCCCTAATATCCAACATTTAGAACATTGCCCCCCTCTCTTTGGAATAGATACCAACAACCACCGTAAATTATAGAAGTTTGAAAGAAAAGAGTCAATGAAAAAAAAAGTATTTTTTACCGCTCAATGAAACAAAAGATAATTTACATCGATGTATTCGATTTACATTTTAAAAAATATTACTTTGTTGGTTTAACTTAAAATTAGTTTTGCCCTATGATGATTATTCTAGAACAGTTAAAGAATATTTTTTCCATATAAAGAAAAATTCTAATCGGGCTAAAACGAACAAAGGTTAGTGAAGAAAATATCGTAGTCACACACTTTTTTCTCCTGTCAATATTTTATACCTGAGAAACAGTATTTTTCATTCTATTAAGCAAATTATTTAGATTTTTATAAGTTGTGTTCATCATATTTATTTTCTTTATGTTTCCAGTTATTTTTAAAATCAGTATGGTTGGTTGAATAGTTTTGCTATGAAGAAGTAACCCCGAAATGTACTGTAAGGTTGAGGGCTGGGAAGTGGGAAAGTGTGCAGAGTTCTTAGATTGGCCTCCCCCGTCCTCTCTCCCAGTCTCAGTAATTCTTTATCAGTACTAGGGAGAGTACGCACTCTCTCCGTGATATCTTTTCTGTTCAGCCAACAAGAACCTTGTATTTCTCGTGGTTTTTTCAAAACATATAAAGAAAAAATCCCGTTTCTAAACTTGTACGTAAATTGTGCAGGTTTTCTTTTGTAAGTTTTTAGAAAAAAAGTGTGTAAAGCTCTTACGTCCAATGAATGAGATAAAGTGCTAAAACATGACGACACAAAACAACTTTCTCGCAGGGATAGAAACAAAAATATCTGTATTTAAGGGATATTTAAAATATTAATTTTTATTTTGATTTAAATCTAAAATTTAGAAATGTTAATCTCAAATAGTGTTAATAACCTCATATGATTATCTTTCCAAAAAAAATATTTGCAAACATCAAATAACCTCATTAACTTTAATTTTCTATTTCAAAATTTGTTTGAATAATCAAATAGCGTTTTTCTCAAAAACGTAGAACTAACAATTGATAATTTTAAGAAACACGCTCCAGGAACACTAGAGAGCTAATCTGGATTCTTTCGGACAACTCTAATGAATACTGACCTTCCTTCTTGGTTTTTGGGACCGTGGATGATTTGGCCCATGGTTCATCCGATTCATCATGATACCACCTCGTTTTCTTTTTCCAGTACTCCCCCCTTTAAGCATGATCTGCAGAAGGTTTGCAAGTTCCGACTTGGGAGATCTACAATCTTATAATTTTTACTTTTCTATACAATCTTACATTAGCTATGCATGATTTTATAAGGAATTTAGTCTTTCCCAAAAGCTAAAATTTTCTAATCCCTACATCTTTGCAACCTTATGATGTAAATCTTTGTTATTTCAAACATAGATTATTATAATCTAACAGAATTCATAGCTTGAAATATCTTGATGAAAGGTAGGGATTAGATAATTCCAGTGGCAAAGACTTTTGGATTTAATAAGCTTAAAAATGAATAAGGAAAAAAAGTGCTTCTATACCAGCCTTCATCACATGATAACTGAAGAGTGGTATAAAGAAATATATAAAATGCAACCCCAGAAAATAGTATCACAATTTTCAAGGATTGTTGAGTTATTAGAATATTCTTTTTATACTCATATTTTGGATAGAGGAACTAACTCATCTAATCGTATAATTATATAAAAAGTGAAAATTTTAAGAATGCAAAACTTGGAGAGGTAAGCTACTTCCTCCATTAATTCAATTTTTAAGAATGGATTCTAAAACCTTTTACGATGGCTTTCTTTGTTATCAATATCATTACAACCAAATATGCACAAATATATAGCAATGATTGAACAAAACCTCTAAATCGCCTTGCTTGGTCCCAATTGTCTGTCCTGATCTAGGGGATCGGTCCACTTGAGCCAACCTCACCAAATATATCGATCAAAAAACACATCTGTAATCACATTGCGGGGATGCTCGGTCCAACACATGTCTTATCCTCAGCGTCTCGCATAAAATGGTCTTGTCCAAAGTCACCCACTAGGGGGGGATGAACTGATGCAGGACACCGGCAAACTCAGTGGACTGTCCTGTACTCTTTACATATATCAATTTATAACGTTCAGGGTGTTCCACGAAACATGATAGTAGCAAGACTAACAAAAGGTCGTCTTTGATATTTGGAATAATTTGCGGCATTTATTTGTAAACCTTTAGAAGTAAAATTCTAGAGTTTATAATCACAAAATAACCATAGTCTTGACATTTCTAAAATGTTGTCTGTCTTTTTTACAATGCCAAAATATTACCGGAGATATATATGTATAGTATGACTGAATGTCACAAATAAATTCAAAGTTCAAAGACGACTTTCAAGTCGTCTTGATACTGTCATGTTTCGTGGGACACCCTGTAGATAAATCTTATGTATAGAAATATATTACGTGATAATTTGCTGTCTCTCGACCTTTCCAAATAAAATTTTTGATATGAACCGCGGTCTATTAATTCATAATTTCCATACTGAGAACCATGAAGTTAAATGAAAACTTAATCTTAATATTTCACATTCATACAATAATAATTTTCTGGTGAATCTATATATCTTTACTTAATTATACATTGGTAGTAAATGTTCATGTTCTTATTTGGGGACGAAATATGGGGATTAACAATAAAAACGGCCAGAAAAAAATGATTACTTCAAAACTGTTGTTCACTTAGTTCGATGGTACAGGGTGTCTCACGAAACTTGATAGTAGCAATTGACGAATTAAAGGTCATCTTGGATCTTTGAAATAATTTGCGGTGATCGTAAACCTAATTTTAAAAGTAAAATTCTAAGGTTTACAACCATAGATAAAGATAGATTGCGCATAAGACGACATTTTTCATCTTGAAAGATATAAATGTACAGAGATGTTTTAAAGATATTCCTATTAGTTAGATTAACTAGGTCGGTTGTGAACATTGGCTGTTCTTATGTCATTGAGTACTTGTGGTGTACATGAGTTCTGTAGAGAGAAATTTAAGTTAGTTTAGCCCTTCTCATGTCCTTCTTCAGTTCTCGTCAATATGATTTATTGCTCAGTGAAATATTGTGGTTCAAATAGTTCCATTCCCGGAGTTATTTTTCACTCTATTATGAAATCCATTAAAACACCAAACCACCCCGCTTATCATTGAAGTACACTTTGACCCCTAAAAGTATGAGTTCGCGGACTGTACAATTCTTGGTGATTTTGCGTACATAAGCTATCTATGTTAATTTATCTATCTATGTTTACAACCATAAAATACCCATCTGAAAGAAAATCTTAAAATCTCTCCGGTAATATTACAAAAAAGGCAGACCACATTTTGGAAATGCCAGGACTAGGAGAATTTTGTGGTTACTGTTTGAAGAATCATACACGGGAAAGTAGGTTAACGAATGATCAAGTCACAAATAAATTCAAAGTTCTTGCTACTGCCATGTTACGTGGAACACCCTGTAGATTCTGTTATACTTCTTGTTCATATGTACGTGGGTCACGTGGGACAGGTTCTTCCGCGTATTATACCTTGTAATCTGTTCATAAGGCATTAAAGACATGAAATTTTGTACGCTTAAATATATTTATTTCAGAAATTGCGAAAATATAAATGTAGATTGGTGATATGATGGAAACAAAAATCAGTGATTCTTTTCCTTTTACCTTTCCTATTGGATCAAATAATATGGGAGTCGATAATGGGTTAAACAAATTTATTGTTTGAAGAATGAATATTTGAATTCGACTACTATTTTTAGGTAAGCAATACAATCAACATATCTAAGAAATAAATATCTAAACTTAGTTAAAATAAAGTGATGATTTAGGTTTGTTAAAATTAATCAACGGTTTTTTAATGATTTAAATTATTTATTAAATCTAAATACGCCTCTGGATAATAACATAGATGTTTTTAAGAAATTTACAAACATATTTCGGAATGGAGTGTTAATTAATGGGGAAATTCGAAGTTCTAACTGAAGACGACATCTACATGGGTCTTTAGTATATTTTTTAGTCTTTTCTTTTCAAAAGAAATCTTTTTATGCAACTATTTCCAAACCAAATAAAACCTGTCGTCGTTGCCATAAGTCTGATCCACTTTGCTCCTGCCGCCACGTGGAAAGAGCATTGGCCTAACGAAAACAATAGAGAGATTACATAGGAGCATAGGACTGGTCTGGACTCTAGTCTCTCAGGAGGGATTTGAGGACTGGATCTGGAACTCTAGATTTGAAGTCTCTTTTCATTCGGCACTGGACTCCGGCCATGAATATATAATAAAATAGATGGATCATAGAGAAGTTTGGATGTAATTTTCTGGGAGGGGTGTTATGCAAGTACATCAGAGTTCTAGCAGACAATGGACCCTGAACAAGCTCTTGCATAATTCCTTTCTTATTTATCCAAACAGTCATACTCCACTGAATTTTAGGAGGGGGGGTGGTCGGTTCATTTAATTCCCCTATAATTGTAGTTCTCAATGTTTAAACTTTATTTCAAAGATAGCTCAATTATCGTTGCCCCCCCCCCCCGTCCCCCGACCTTTTTATGGGGTTTAAAATAAAAAATACGGAGGAGTAAGAAGGCGGGACGGGGGTGGAAGGCTCCTTCCATTAAGAACAAAACAATTAAATATACCACCCGCCCTTGAAAGTTACTCATGACTATACAGTATACAGTAGAAATGATTCATATTTTTTTCTCCAACTTAACCTTATTAAGTCTGGGGGGGGGTTTAGATGCATGAGAGGTGAGGGGGCGTCAACCCCCCCCCCCTCCATGTAGTCTGTTTATGGTTAACATTACAGCTATATTTGGGTGTCCCAATAAACATGGAAATTAAGTCACAACTTTTATATTGTCTTTGTTACCCAAGGCATTGTTTTGTAAACACAATTTAGTATTTTCCCAGTAATAACTTTTAACGCCAAATTACTAGTCTCAATTCTCAGGATTTCTAAAACTCAAAATTACAAAATTAAAAACATTTAAAAAGAATTTAATAATCCGTCAATTTTAAAGAAACAAAAAGGAAGACCACATTTGGAAAGCTTAGTTTTTATACACTCTAGCTTAGTCGTTCATCAATTATTGAAAATTAAAGATTATTTTCAATTTCCCAATCCGACAAATGTAAAAAAAAATTAGGATGTTGTCTATGTTCTAATTCTTTTTTTCCCTTGCAAAATATATTCAAAAAAGGCGGAATTTTTTATTTAAAAAAATAATGTTTATATAATATTGAAAACAATAATGAGGGATTTAAAATTCGGTGATGGTGATGGACCAAACATTTGTAGAGTAAAAAAAGTAGATGTTAGTTCCACATTTATTGAAAATATATTTCGGTCTGGGTTGACCCTCGTCAGTTCTAACGATATAATGACCATCAAAATCGATAAAAAAAAATATAAAAAATTTATAAAAAATCCCAAGAAAATAAACAAACAAAAATAACTATTCAAAATAAAAATTTAGCCTGTCAAATGGACAGCCCATTGAAAATATTCACTTTTTAAAAAAAATGAGGGATTCTTCCTTCTGATTTTTGAATTATCAACTTGGACAACTGAACTCGGACCTTGGTTCTCTCATTTTATTTTCATGGCTCCCACGGTTCTCGACGTGCTTGTCCAGATTTTGAAATAGATCAGGGCAGTGACGTAAATAAGGGGGGTTTTTGGGGTTAACATTTCTCTTTTAATATAAAGAAATTAACATATATACCTGGTACATTGACGACAAGAAAATTTTAGAAATTAGAAATTAGAATATAAATAAAGACAATAATTTTTCAAAGTTTTGCAGAGTAGCTTTTCCAAAGATTTTAAAAAGTTACATCTTTTTCCTCTTAGAGTAAAACTATTTTTTTATGTTTTTATGTTTTTTATGAAAGCTGAAAGGTAGGAAATGAATTGCCTTTATTTGATGGAGTTTGTAAATGCCAAAAATAAGTGGAAAATGCAAATCAAACCCAACTAAAACCAATAATTTGATATACATTATGATATTTTTCTAGGGGGGGGGGGGTAAAAAAAACAGAATCTTTATTCACGCCCCTGGATCAGGGAGCAATTCATTAACTATGTTGCAAACCTGCTGCTTCAAATAAAACTTTAGGAATAAGTGTAGATTTTTCTTGTATTTCAACAAGTAAACGAGCGCTTCTGATCATTCAAAGGTGTATAGGATACCCTTTGTGGATACGCCAGAGCTCGAAATTTAAAAAACAAAACTCCCTTTCCTTTTTTGGGGTCTTAACATTTGTGTAGATTTTAATTTAAGAGTTTCAAAAAAAATGGAGAATATATATATATACAAACTGAAAAAAAATAATATTTAATTACAAAAATATTGATATTCACAAAACTGCCTAATTCCATTCATAAAAACCCGGGTTTTTAAACTGGTTTTCATAATGATACCCTGTCTAAAGTTTTGGGCTCAGGGGGGATGATAGTTCTCTACCTGTGTGTTCAGTTAGCTGTACTTTATACTTACAACAGTTTACTTATAATGATGCACTAAAGGTTAGGCTAGAATCTCCTTATGATAATTAAATATGTAGAACGCTCTTGGTATATTGGCCCATACAATTAGTAAAGGATTAGCGTACATCATCACTCTATACACTATAAGGTTGGGATACGTCTCTTTAAATGAAAGGTTACTTAAAATTACGATTACAGTTCTTCAGATAAAGAAGACAGAATACATTAGAATGCTCTCTTTGAAAATTAGTTAAATTTTTTTATGATAACTTTAAAAAGTTTTTTTTAAATTCTCTCTTTTCCTAACTTTTTTTTTACTTCTTTTCTCTTCCTTCTTTTTTTGGTATATAATTTCACTTATTGTAGGGTGTTATTGTAGCTGATATGAGATTTCGGTAATTTCCTAGAGAACGATTTTGGACCCCCCCTCCTATCAATTTTTTACATCATATTTAACACATGGATTAAGTTGGTCATGTGGCCGCAGCGCCCGGCCTCTAGCCAGTCCTAGCCACGGCGCTCGGCCCCATAGCCTGTCCTAGCCGCACTGCTCGGCTCTCTAGCCTGTCATTGCTGCAGCACTCGGCCCAGAAAGTGTCTTAACCTAACCTAATCTTATACTAATTTTGTTGGAAATTGTTGAAATTGAGGGCCTGTTCCGACCGCAGCGCTCGGCCTCGAAATTGTGCTAACCTAACCTAACCCTGAAATAATGCAAAATATTTTTTTTTGAAAATAGTCGAAATCTAGGTCATGTACAAAATTGTTAGGAGGAAGAGGCGGGGTCCAAAAATCATTCTCTAGGACAGATCCGAGATTTCTGCTCCAAGCTATTTTAGCAGGAGATTTCTTCCTACCTGCATATCCATATTAAGCTATCCTTGGTTGTAGCAGAAACCTCATGTTTGTACCTCTTCTTAATCGGGAAAGAAAGTCGAAAGAAACGACTTCTAAAGCAAATTTTTTACTTTCTATAGTTCTTTCTCCCACCGCATTTTTTATGCGTACAGAACTGATATGTTGCAGTCTATTATAACCATGACCAAACAATTGAATATTTTTCAAAAACACTAGTATACATTTTTATCAGAAAACTAAAAGAACAGAATATATATCGTCATATAAAAAATCTGTTATCATCTGTATTGTAAAAAGGAGCCATTATCTGAATCTAATAGTTTATTTTTTTCTATACATACAGCAACTGAAAGTTTTTGCAGGGAAGCACACAGGGTAAACAGCCCGCTTACACAGTCAAAACGCACTTATTTTACCTTGAATCATGGATCTCACAGACCCCCCTCCCCAGTTACGGTCCTGCAGTGATGTGATTGATAATTGATATTCAAATGATTTAAACAAAGTATATTGAGAACTTTGAGAGCATAGTTAAATTATACCACATGATATATCACCGTGAATACACGCCACATTGCACATTGCTCCACTGAGCTTATATACTTTTAATCTAAAACTATTTTTGTCCCTACACCATAAATGTATTTATATTTCATCAAGAATATATCAATATCTGGAATTCTTTCGGTCTCTGTAACATGAATATTAAATAATACACGTGCCATTGTTATGTATATATATATATATGGAAACCCCCTCCGCTACGCTTATGTTTTTTAATATAGTATACAAAGACAGTTTTTGCTGGCAATAGAAACTATTACCACTATCAGGCCTTTTACATATTTATTATTCTATCTAGTAATAGGTTTGGCTAAAGATAAATAACAAGCATTTAATACAAAACCCATGCCAATAAAAAAAAATTTCTTGCTGACCTGAGGAATTTGATTATTTTTATTTTTACAGTTTTCCAGATTCTTGCGGTATGCGGATCTTTATTTATCCTCTTTTAAAAGAATCAATATGTCTCTTTCAGCTTTTAAAAATTTAGATCTTTTGGAGTAAAAAATTTGGTCATATATACACATTTGTTGGGTTGTCCGTTATATATATTTCTCATTTTATCACATATATCTTTCATACAGTGGTAGGCAATATCAAATATTGAAATCCTATTAAAGCTTTGCTGTTGGCCAGCTTGCATACAGGGTTAACAAACAGACACAAACACACTGTTAGAAAAATATTGGACACATGCTTAGGAAATATTATAGCTTCGGAGAATAAAAACATTTTAAATTTCTTAGATGAATTCTTATAGCATACTAATCTTTCTTTACTCAAGCAAAGCATTTTCTGTTTAGGAATTATGCTAGAATTTCTTCTGGCTTTTATCTTCGTTCCTATTGGATCGGGAAAACCATCCCGAGATATTCCAGGTGTTCCAGGTCAATTAATCACAAACGAACAATCATGGATTGAATCCTTAGACTATTCAGAGTTAAAAGAACAATTTCTGAATAAACAAGTTTCCGGAACATGGAGTACACCTTCAAATATCAACATGACAAGAGTGACCAGAAATGCGTATTTTCAAGGAATTCCTGTTTACGAGAAGATCTTTCGTAATGGAATGAACTGTGATTTTGAGCAGGCTGAAACATGTGTCTGGGGTATCATACCTAAAGATACGTCAAGAAAGGTAAGAATAGATGCTTAACCGATGATTGATTTACAGAATAGGGGAGTAAAGCAAAATTTTGAGAATTATTATTAATCGAATAATGTTTGATCAAATAAAATACATTTATATCTACTTAAAAATATTTTTTTTTATCAGATAAATGATGACATATCATCAACACTTACATTATAATATAGATATACACAAACAAACATGCAAACACACAGAGATCATTACTAGATCATGTCTATATAGATAAAGGAGTTATCTCTGTTTGTTTGTTTTGATGTCCGATCATAACTCAGAAACCCCTTGACCGATTGGCCTCAAATTTGGTTTCGGTAGAACCAAGCTGGTATCTATATAAAGTAGTAATCTCTGTTTGTCTGTATATGCAATCATGACTCTAATGTAAATTGAGTGAGTTGACTTTTATCGCAAAAGTTTGGTTCCAGGCACGGCTGGGTGCCTTAGCTAGTGTAATCTATACTCTCTATATATATCTCTAAATAAATCTCTGTTTTTCTGTCTCGTTTTAATGTCCGATCATGACCCTGTAACCCTTAACCGAATGGCCTTAAAATTTTGATTGGGGAACTCGGTAGAACCATGGAAATTTTTATAGCTTGGTTTTAAAATTCTAAGTGGAGTAGGTTGAATTCAAACCAAAAGTTTATGTTGAATCAATGTAAAGTTAAATTATAATTTATACTAGCTTGGGAACCAAGCTTTACCTGGAACGGAAACTTTCGCTATGAAAGTTAACCTTTTTGTGTGTGTGGTTTATAACGTTTTAAGTTGGGTGTGTCGGTTTTTTTAGATCCTCTTTTGTTTTTAAACGTTGTCATTATTGCAAAAATATCAAAAAATCAAATGCCAAATGATCAAATGCCTAATTATGGAGTACAAACGCAGTACGTTTCAATTAGGTCTACAAGCTAGAAATGTAAATAAATCAGGGAAAAATCATAACAACGGATCGTACTGCATTGTTCATCTCAAAACCGGTTAAATGTCAACAACAAAAAGTAAACAAAGAGGAGACGATATGAGATAAGAAAAGAGAAGAAAAAAGATAAGAGAACAGTAGAGTAGAGAAGAGAAGAAAAGAAAAGATAAGATAAAAGAGAAGAAAAAATAGAAGAGAAGACTAGAAAATAGACGAGAAGAGAGAGAAGAGTAGAAAATAGAAGAACAGAGAAAGAAGAAAAAATAGATTGCGTGAAAGAGAGAGCTTGCATTTTACAGACGTTTTATCATAAAAATATGTATAAGAATACCTTAAACTTTAAAATTAACTATTATTGTAAAATTGTATGATATTTTTTATAAGAAAAGTTGTCCTAATTGTTTAGCGTACATTTTTTGATAATTTGAAGATTTTTGATCATTTGGCATTTGATATTCTGATATTTTTGCGTCACTATTGATCAAACAAAAAATCACAGTTATAATTCATATTTTAAGCTCTCACACTCTAATAAATCAGCCGTCTAGAGGTTATCGTATTATGTCGATTTTTATATATAAATTGTATATATTGTAAATATCAAGTAGTTATCTCTGTTTTTCTGTTTGTAGAGGTGGAGATTAGTTTCCAGGCAAAGTCGGGTTCCGGAGCTATAGTACTATTATATAATACATAAATGATATCTACTTTTCCTGCATTTATATATAATTTTTGTTATACGGTTTAATGGATAACTCCATTTTTGTTTTGTGTATTATAGCTAGCTTAGTAAAGTTCTCAATACAAAGTAATTTTTATTATTTTTATTTTCATAATTTTTATTAACACCTGCACAATTAGGAGTACATTAGCTTCTAGTACAATACTTCCGTCCAACGATACTTTTTACATATCAAATTTCCGACCTACTACAATATCTGACATAATTAGATTTTACTGTTACCTTATTTATAGTGCAATTAGTTTTCTTGGTCCGATGCACTGTCTCTAGGGGTGTTAGGACGGAACTTCATTGTTATTTCTTTAGTTATTCACTAAACAGAACAAACAAATTCCTTCTTTCTTAATTTAAAAATTGTACAAATGTATACAATTTAATATGTGTATATGTCCAAAATACACTTCACAGTATTTTAGTATATATAATGATCTAAAGAGAAGGTTGAAAAATTGATAATGGTGATAGCTATAAGCAAGGAGATATTGAACAGAAGAGGGGGCGATTGGGTTTTTGGACTGCTGAAGAACTAGGTTTTGCGCGTAACAACAATAACAAAGGCAGCCGATCTAATGTAAACTGTGAAAGTAGTATTAAATCTTGTTAAAAAAGATTGAAAAACTTAAGGATTTTTAGTTTTATACGAAAAAGAACCTTATTACAGAGACATTTTCAATCAAATTCAAGGTTATCCTACCCCCCCCCCTAGATGTCTGTTTATTATTTGTGTTATTGTTTACAATCTTTATTATTGTTGTTACGCAAAAACTAGTTCTTCAGCAGTCCAAAAACGTCACAGCAAAGTGTACGGAAACCCTATCGCCCCCTACTTCAATTCAATATCTCCTAGGCTATAAGTATGTCTAATACAATTATGTCTATTAAAAATATTGTAGGATGGTTCTCAAGGCTTAACCCGGGTTCGTGGGAGAGAACTTAGAAGACTTATGAACCATCCACATAATATCACAGATGCAACACTGGACCCAAATGGTCAGCATTTTCTTCAAAAACTATATTGACTACTTCATGGTTTAACCCTATTCCCGTTTTTTTTACATGAATCAAAATCATCGATCTAATGCTATTCTAATATTTTTACTTCTCTATAAAAACTCCAGAAACCAGGCTTGTACGTCGACTGCCTGATTCACTGAGTGTCTACTTTTTTCTATACTAAAATAAATCTCTAACTTCTGATTTTTAAATTTTAGAATTTCTTTTTACAGTTTGACATCTCTATTTACAGCAAGCAGTGCTCTTAAAACATGTATCTGATCAATACTGTTGAAGATATGGTCGTTTTTTCCACCTTGAAAAGGTTTTAATTGTAACAATTTCCTCCAGTGTTTTTGAAGTAATTTTTACAGAGAAACTGCAACTGAAAATAAGTAATTTTTATAAAAAAGGGATAACTACAAAAGTTTTGCTCAGATAGAGGTTTAAAGGGTAAACACCATATAACTGAAATTACGCCTGTAGTCCCTTTAAGTCATGAAATTTGTTTATTGCCCTCATATAACATTTGAAGTGTTTCTAAAAATATTTTTTTCAGGCAACTTCCTGGTTTTCCAAGCAGGATATAGAAGGAAAAGTGATCCAAACCATTCTTATATAGAGAGTCCTTGGATAGAAGAGAGTTTGAAGTACTGTACACTCTCTTTCTATCTTATGAGTAAGACTTATGATAATTAACAATTGTCATTCAAATCTAATAGTATTAATCACGTCTCCTAAACTGATTTTTTAAAGGTACTGTGAGTGAATTTAAGCTGGGTTCCAATGATCACGCGTACATGGAAACAATGATTGTCGATGATTCTAACGGTGCTGTTCCTCTCACGCCTAAACATGTGAAAAGTTCGGAAGAGTAAGTTTTAAATATTTAAGAATAAAATAATTGAAAAATAAATTACTTTATGAAATATCTCTATTTTCAGTTCACCCTGGACACAACTTGAGTATGACATTGGTACTTACACTAAATTTAAGATCGAGATCAGTTTTTTCAAAGGGGTAAATGAATCCGAGATGTCTATATTTGGGCTAGATAATATCAAGGTAAGAACGAATGAGTTGCTGATTCAGACTTCTTACAATCAATGAGACTTGCGACTTGATAGACAACATCCAAGTCGCATTCTTTGTTCAAGGAGGGAGGGGTTATTTTCCTGATATTGATTAGATAAAAAATACACAAATTAACCTTTTTAGAGATATTCGTTTCGACAAAGTATCCAAAACCCTTAGAGCTGCCACCCCTCCCTTGTTCAATATACCTTGTCTAAATGAATATCTCTAAAAAGGTTAATTTGTGTATTTTTTATCTAATCAATATCAGGAAAATAAACAAAATGAGAATTTAAATATCTGAGGCGCATAAGAAATATTTCTGATTGCATTCACTTTTCTTTCTTATTTTCTCATTTAAACTTGTGGGTTTTGGTGTGTGTATGGCTAGGGGGTGGGGGTGTATTCGAAAAAAATATCTGCTTAATAACGATTTGCAATTTTCAAGTTAATAATGCTATGATGGTTATCTATCGTAATAATTTTATTTAAAACCTTTAAGTTACGGAATTGCTTGAAAAGACCAACGGATAAGCCACCTCCGTGTAGTCCTGAGAAAGAGTATAAATGTAAAGGGTAAGTTTGTTTAGTTTTTTTGCGTTATTCGAAAGATTTTAAGATCATCGGCCTTCAAATTCATTGATGCGTCATATACACTTTCTGTGTATAGTATGTAATGTGTATAATGTGTTTTTTAAATGAATTTGGTTCAAAATGTACTTCAATAGTTTGATATTTAGAGAAAAAGCTAGATTTTTAAATATGTAATTTAACTAATATGTGATGTAAATTATTGATGAAAAAATGGGTCCGGAATCCTAAAAAACGTTCTTGTTTAGAACTGGAGTTTGTGTTTCCAAATTCCTAGACCTGTGTGACTATCAGAGGGATTGTAGACTAGGAGACGATGAAGATTATCCTACATGTGGTAATTTAATCTTGCCAATTGTGCCCTTAATAAGTTAATACGTACAGTTAGTCAAATATGTTGCATGCTAATAGTAAAATAGTGATAGTATTAACAACAGTTAGTTTGGTAATGATAATCTAGGTAACATTGATATTTTTTGGACGTCATTTTATGGTCCATAGAATATAGACTTTTCACCGAGATCTAAAGGTTAAAAGCTAACACGTAAAAATCGAAGAGAATTTTCCCAATACCCTCTTGAAAACAAGTGCTAAAAAGATTAAAATTTTTATTTCAATTCTAGGGCGTCAAAAAAGTATATGTGAGTTAGTAAGGTAAAATCAAGGACCAAAAGTCGTTGCGACCCAGTCTTAAAATTTGATGAAACTTTCTTAGCTGTCTGGATGCTTTGTCAACAGAGAAGGGGGGGGGGGGGCAGACGCAAAAATTTCTCGTCCGAGCCACCTCGAAACTCTCGTTCTTCCAATATTATTTTTATTACAGGAGAAGAAAGTTCCAAACGGTGCTTATTTTCCAAACCTGACACTGGTGTGAAGTTTGAGCACACATATTATGATCAACTTTTTAATAACTGTTTATGTGCCGAGTGCAAATATTGATTGAAGAAACTATTAATTAGCACGACGAGAACTACAAATAACACTATTTACTTCTTTTCTATAATTAAGACTGTCGTTCATTTTTAATAAAAACCCACACCATTTTCGAAACAATTCAAGGTTTAAATTTTTTGCACATGTCACGAATTCGAATCTTTGATGCGTTTTGGAACATAAACCAACATACGTAACAATCCATAGTTTGAGAATTTTGAACAATTCAGAACAAACATACTTTAATAATTTACAGAATAGCATAATTATAAAATACTAGGCTTTTAGGGCGCTTCGCGCCCATCTTCTATTTCAACTTTTAATTGTGGCTTTATCTCTGAACATCTTCTCTTTGTACAGTATAAAACAAAAACAAAAAAAGTTTGCGGATTTCATAAAATTTTTTTGCGCATTTTCAAAATTTTTCAAAAATTAAAAACTTTTAAGCACAAATTTTTAAAATTTTGATCATTCATAAACCTTCCCTGGGGTCACGTGAGGTCCCACAAAAAATTTGGTCCAGATCGGTTTAGCCGTTTTGACGTTTATTGGATACAAACAAACAAACACCCAAACAGACAGACAAGCCAAATTTATATATAGATAATTATTCAAAAATTTGTTTCCATATTATATTTTTAAATACCGAAAAAAAGATGATGTAAAGTTTCCTTCATTTTAAATGAAATATTTCCAGCATTTTTTGTTCAATTTAATTGTAAAAACAATATAATAATAATATTCGAATTTTTCAATATCATATTTTAAAATATCAGAACAGAAAATATTTGGTTAAATTTTTATTGTTTCATCTATATGTAAATTTAGCTTGTCTGTCTGTTTGTTTGTTTGTTTGTATCCAATAAACGTCAAAACGGCTAAACCGATCAGGCCCACATTTTGTGTTGGACCTCACGCGGCCCCAGGGAAGGTTTATTGCCAATCAGACTTCAAATATGTAATCTTAAAAGCTTTTTATCTTAAATTATTTAATTAATACTTTACAAAGAGAAAATTCTCACAGATAAAGCCACAATTAAAAGTTGAAAAAGAAGATGGGTGCGAAGCGCCCTAAAAGCTTTGTTATTTAAATTTTACCAAATTGTGTAAATGTGTGAAAAGTATAATTGATTGAAATCTGTGAAATTTCTCAAAATCACGACATGTTCCTAAACGTGTTTTGCGCCAAAACTTTGCATTTGCATCAAAATGTGACATGTTCTAAAATAAAATCAATAATCATCAAAAATTTAAATTTTGTTTATTTGTAGGGGCTTAGTATTTAAATTTTTGTTTTAAAAATGTAGTCTTAACTGTTCTAAATTAAAGTGTGCAGACGGTTTTTTACTTCTTAAATTGAGAAAATATAAAAAACAGTTGAAAAAAACTTTGCACATTTGGCCCAAACATGACACTCCGACGTTTGTACGGTCCGATGTTTGTACCAGTCCAGAGCTTTTAGTTTTCAATAAGTATGAAATTTTCGTACATAAATTGTTTTTTTTGCGAGAAGACTGAAAGGGTGCAGTAATTGTGTTGTATGAAGTATTTAACTCTAAAAATTAAAATATTGGATCAAAGTCCTATTTACACAATCTTCTTCTAAAACAGACTTCAATAAAGCTTATCCAGAAAGGACTTGCACTTGTTTATTTACTTGAGTAAATGGCCAAGCAACTAAAAGCCTAAAAGACTGAAAGCCAAGTTTAACTAAACCTTAAGTTTTATGAAGTCAGATTATAGAATTTAAGTGGTTTAAAGGTTGTGCGGATTTTTAGCATGAAATATAAATATGTAGCAAACAGGAAATGTATTCAATGTGCAAAAAGTAGACATCTCAGAACAAGCAATAAGGATGTAATATTCAAGATTTTTGCAGTACATATTGAAGTATTTTTCGTTCATACACTATATCAAGTTTTATCCGAAAGTGTCACATAAGTTTCGCTAAAAAAAGGATATTCTAGAAGTCTGAGCTCTACATTTTTTTTTGAAAATTCACTGTATTTATGCCGGATACAGTTTTGGCCAGGTTGACGTCTAGCAGATCGATTTTGTGATGTAAGGAGTGTTTAGTAACCGATGCAAAAAAAAAACAGAAACCTAGGAAACGAACAAATTAATATTTAAAGGATTATGACATGTCAGAAATGGCCAAGACAATTGAAAATTAGTATAACCTTATTAGCGAGGATTCTTTAAGTATGTTGACCAGACAGTTTGATATGTGCTTTTATATTGTAAACAAAATTGTCAAGCAAGATTGAAAAGGACAAAGATCTGGGCTAAATTTGTTCAGACATAGGACCAAGGGGATGATATTGGTAATGGATCTCACACATGTAAATTAAAACCAGTAAAATCCTTAAAATCCCTAAAAGGGTCTTTAACACAATCTAATGGATCAAGTTTGAGACCATTCTGAAAATTTCCTTGCTGTGACAACGAAGCTAATTAACTTTTGGGAGAACGCTCCTTACATCAAAACAAAGATCTAATTGACATCAACTGGTATTCCTGCTGGGGGGGGGGGTCAATTTGACCCCCCCTGTAGTTTTTTTTACATAACTCAAAAAGTATTGGTCTGAGGCTGTTGAAATGTTCTGACTTTTCTTACATACCCAAATCCCTCCCTTTAGGCCTAAAACCGGGCTTTAATACTAACTGCCTGAGTCCTCAGGCACACTGCCTGAATGACTGCTTTTGCCTGTAACAAACTAAATCTTTGTTTTGACCCACTTTCACTTGTCAGATTTTGATAAAATTTAGCTTTTTGGAAAGCCTATGACATAAGGAAACGGATTGCACAAGTTTTGCGAAAAAAAATTGCAAATTTTTTGCAAACAACCTGTCAAAGGAAATTTGCACATTTTTAGTTTTTCTTCATTAAAAATCAGGTTATTTAAAATTTTGCAAAAATCTTTGCACATTTGAAATGGCATGGTCAAGGGCTTTTCAAAAATGTATAATTTTTCATTTTTTGGACAAATTGTTTTTGCAAACATTTTTATATATAACTGGATTTTGCGATAAAAAAATTCAATTTTTGGAAATTTGCAAATTTTTTTGCAGATTCTAAAAGTAGAGCACAAGAGCTTTCTAATGATGTATCATTTGTCATATTTAGACATAAAACATGGGATTTAGAGGGGGGGGGGGATCAAATTGACCCCTCTAGCATATCCTGGTTTTCAAGTACCCCAGCAGGGATAGGGTTAAAATCAGTTATAGTGAACTACAGGGCTGAGACTTATATAAGTACCCTTTTTTTTAGCGAAACTTATTGCTCACACTTCGTAAGCACGGATAGGACACTTAAAAAATAATAATGGAAGAACGAGGATTTCGAGGTGGCTCGGACGATAAATTGTTGTGGCTGGCCGGTCTTCCTCCCCTCGTCAACGTTGGTTTTGCGATACCTGGAAAAAGGACATCATTTTCTTGTTGTTGTTGCTGTAAAATATTTAAGTTAGCAAAATAACATATACATTCTTAAAATAAATATTTACCGCAGGAGATCTAGATGCCTTGAACGGAGGTTATAGATGTGATTTCTCAAAGGATTACTGTGGTTGGACTCCGTCTGGACCAATGAAATGGGAGAGAACTCAGGTGAATAATTCACAAGCAAACTGGATTATTTAATGGTTAACTTCTACACCCACCCTTCATCCCCGACCCAAGGATATACTCTTATCCATTTTTAGATATATTTAATTCTGGTTGCAATATCAACACTTTACTCAATATAGAAAAGCGTATTTTATTTTAAATATTAATTTATGTACAGTGATAACCAGAAAACCATGGAATAGGAAGACGACATTAAAGCAATATTTAAGTGTATTTGATGTTGTTACAGAGCAAATATTTTTACTTGACACTTAATAAATCACTTATTTAGTGAAATGGGTCTGTTTACAATGCACAATTGCTGTGTGTCATGCTCATTGGACTTTTTAAAGTTATAACTTGATTCTAAAATGTCAATTGATTTTATTTTCAAAATGACAAGGACTTTAGATACCATTTTTTCTGATATCAATTTATAGTTACATAATTAAATAATAATTAAAAAAGCAAGAGTTACTCTTGAAACATTGAATTTGGGTTTCTGACTGAAATATCGTCTCAGCTTTTGTGGGTTACCTTGTAAAATGTACACTTATAGTGTACGTTTAACCATGTACACATTGTACAGTTTTTTTGGTAGTAAAAAACTAACATTCTTAAAAGAAAAATTATTTTTGTATTTTTTCACGATGCAATATTTAGTCATTCTTTCATGTATAAAAACTAGGGAGTAAGGAAATGAAGGGAGATATAAACGCGGTTCGCCCTACCATATGATTATACATGCTTTGCAGACAGTACTTCATTTGAATAAGAAATATTTGTCTGATGTACAATTACCGCGTATACAATAACCTGCAATAACCTATTCTGAATATTTCTTATACAAATGGAGTATCGTCTGCAAAGCATGTTTAATCATATGGTAGGGCGAACCGCGTCAGTTATATTTCCCTTCTATTTCTTTCTCCCTGTTTGCAGACGGTACTCCATTTGTATAAGAAATATTCAGAATAGGTTATTGTATACGCGATAAATGTACATCAGACAAATATTTCTTATATAAAGATGTATAATCATATGGTAGGGCGAACGTTGTCAGTTATATCTCCCTTCCATTCCTTACTCCCTGATAAAAACAAACAACTGAACTATTAGAATGTACTGCAGTATACAATCCTATGTTTACAATATATGTTAAGTGTCTATCTAACTATCTATACTAATATTCAATTATTTACATTTTTCACCCACTAAGAAATATGATTACTCCATTTTCAAGTTTATAGTGTTAGATACAGGGTGTCCCAAAAAACATGGGAATTCAGTGACGAATTCGATATCGTCTTTGCTGTGAATTAGCATTGTAATACCTAATTTCAAAAGCCATAATATTATTATGTCTGCTAGAGTTTATTTTATGAAAGGGTAAAAGACTGTAAAGATGTGTCTATAATGTCTCTGCAAGATGAACAGTGAAGACTGACAAGTTTACTCAGTTTGTATACTGCAATTTTCTTGTTTTACTAAGTACAACCGTATGCAGTCAAAACATAAACAAACAAAATGTAAACATAGCAGACGAAACTCTTACAGATTAAAGCTTTCTTAGTTGGTATCACTATACTAAATCAAAGAATTATTTAAAAAGACGATATCGAATTCGTCACTGAATTCCCATGTTTTTTGGGACACCCTGTACAATGGACCACTCTATCAATAGCTCGATTCGTTAATCGAGCTGTAACTTGCTTTGACTCTGACTATGATTTGAGATCATTGCTACAAGGTTAGATTTCAGATCATAGTCAAAGCTCATTCATAAGTCAAAATGTTGCTAAAGGGAGGTCTGTTGTGTACATTTGAGAGGATTATGAGATAGGCTTTATAACTCTTCGTTTCCTTTTCTATGTGGGACAGCGCTAGAAAAGTAGTTAAACTAGCCGTTCTTACCTCTCTTGAACCGTGTCTTCATTAACACATAGTTTGTATTTACTAAAGATAAAGTGTATACATATTTAACAGCCAGTTAAATAAAATCCCGTATTTGTATGTATATAATTTTAATATTTGAAATTAAAAACTGTTAAAAAAGATTTTGGTATTCAGTGTGATCGTATTTTAAAAAATTTTATTTTTATTTTTGATGAATGAAAGGAAACAAGAAAATGAATGTTATTAGGGTAATGATGGTTCTCATTTTCTCAACCTTGATCTAAGCAGCTACGTGAACGAAAACCTTGTTACTCTTGGTATACTTCGAAGTCCCGAGTTTACCCCGCCTCCAGCCTATAATGAAGATGATCAGAACCCAGCAACCTTCCAATCTTGCGCTGTAAGTATTAAGCACTCAACAGGAAACTAAAATATTTATCTGGATAGTGCTATCAGGGTTTAAACTAACCATGACGTAGAAAATTTACAATTCAATGGATATTATGCCGAGAAAAAGTCATATGACTGGCCGGAAAAAAATACGATAATGTGTGGAAAGTTTGAAATCAGAAAAAAATATAGCTTGACCTTGAAAACTATTAAACTTCCTATCCATGGAATGTCTTCTATCAAATATCAATGAACTGTTAATACTAGGCTTTTAGGGTGCTTCGCGCACCCTTTCCTGTAAATCATTTTAGCTTTTAACTGTTGCTCTGAAAGTCGGCCAATTAAATATGTTTTAGCGGATTTTTTTTTTCGAATTACACACATTTTCAAAAAAAATTCCAACTATTTTACAGGAATTTTTCTCTCAAATTTTATTTTTCCATAAACCTTCCCCGGGGTCACATAAGGTTTCACATAAAATTTGGGCCCGATCGGTTCAGCCGTTTTGACGTTTATCGGTCACAAACAAACAAAAAAACCAACAGACTCGACAGACAAAAATTGGGAAATTTTCTCTTTGTATACGTTGTAAAACAATAACAAAAAAGTTTATGGATTAAAAAAAAATTCGTGGATTTTAAAAATAAACCTTCCCTGGGGTCATGTGAGGTCCCACACAAAATTTGGGCCCAATCGGTTCAGCCGTTTGGACGTTTATTGGATACAAACAAACAAATAAACAGACAAGCGAAGTATATAGATAGATAGATATAGATTAAATACAATAGTTATATATTTATAGGAAATTAAACAATACACGCATAAAAAAGAGCAGTCATATCATCAGTAGGTTTCTCATATATTTTTTTTCAGCTTCGACTTTTCTTCAAGGCTACCAAAACAGTGAAAGTTGATTTCTTCGAGGTTGAAATCATCGAGAAAAAGCCGTTTACAAAGGTAATACAAAAGCGTAATACCCCTTATTATTGAACACATGAACCCCAAGACCCCAAACTTTGATTAGGGAACTCGTAAGAACAAGAGGAATGTAAAGTTTACACACTAAAATAGTAGTCAAATGGTTTCTGTAACTTAACAACCTTTTCTTATGTATTTTTATTGTTTAAAATATTTTCAAAATACCACGGGCAAGGCTGGGGCACTCCAGCTAGTTATGATTAAAAGCTATTTTTGTTTGTTTTCCAATGTATTTTTATTTGCATCAATTAAAATTTCCCACTCTTTTATTTATCAATAAAAAACCTTTTTGTTGGCAATTTGTTTGCATCCCAAACAATGTCTTTGTTTTGCGTTATTTAGTCTTCTTTTTCCCTATATAATACAAACAATGACCTGTTCTCTATCCATTTCCTGGGAGTTTATACACGGACGACATTTGTAATTTTTTTAAAAATGTGGGACCGATCAGCAAAACATGCATTAAACGAAGGAGGAGCGACATTCCCCTCATTTTCTCAGACCCGAGCCGCCCAAAGCTCACCCTTTAAACGTTTTTCTTAAAAGGTACTCTATTCCTGGTTTAAAGCTCTATTTAAAAATCTGGCAACGTTATGGCAACCCCCAAGATGCGACCTAAGTTTGTTCCGAGTTAGATTATGTGTTTGTCTTAAACTTCGGAGATTGCTGTCAATCTTGTTTTAAGTGAAAACTATATCTCATCTGCCTACGCTATGGGTAATTTTAACGGTATGAATAAATACAAAACTATTTGTCATGGCTTTCACTTTTCTCATGGAACCACCGGGAAAAAGTCTTTGATTTAAATATTTACCAAAAAAGTAAAGTTTTATGCACACTAATTAATTTGCGGCATTCTATATAAGGAATATATAAAATATACGAAAAAAAGGGAACATATTTTTTAAAAGCTTTAATTCAATTTAAACTATTTCTGTCAAATTATGAAAGTTGTGTATTTGATTTATGCCCTAACGTAGTCAGATTTTTAAGAAAGGGTGATTACCTTTAAGAATTCGACACTTGAAAAAGATAATTTTGCAAAGGACAAGCATTCGGAAGTGGCTCAGACGAGAAAATGAGGAGAATGTGGCTTGGACTAAGAAATGTTCTGACTGACCTTTTAGCCTTCGTTAAACTATATGATACGGGAGGGAAACACTTATTTTATTCTCTCTACTCTATTCTCTACTCTATTCTCTACTCTATTCTCTACTCTATTCTCTACTCTATTCTCTACTCTATTCTCTACTCTATTCTCTACTCTATTCTCTACATTATTCTCTACTCTATTCTCTACTCTATTCTCTATTCTATTCTCTACTCTATTCTCTACTCTATTCTCTACTCTATTCTCTACATTATTCTCTACTCTATTCTCTACTCTATTCTCTACTCTATTCTCTACTCTATTCTCTACTCCATTCTTCATTCTTGGATTTGTGTCGACTGGCCTACTGGTTCAATCTTATTACCAGAGATCACAACTTTTATAAATATTCATATCTGTGTGAATCTAGAGGTTTTATTAGAACCAAATATGAAAGAAGGGCAGATTGAAAAAATCGCTTTTAGTAATTTAACTCAAAATCTGTTAGTAAAAAAAAAACAATTTATTCTTGTAGGATATTTAGCATTGCGTGAATGTATGAATGATATAAAAGTAAGCCGAATAAAAATAACAATTCATAAACGTACTAAGCACCTTATTAAGAGGATTAATTCTTTATTAGAGATTAGATACACCCACTATCAACTTTTACTCACTAAATTGGACTGTCTCTCAACCTCTGATTTTTTTGCTTTTACGTCTTATAACAAGATTTCAGTCTAACCTTACTTAAATTTGCCGTGCTCTGTTTATATCTATATTTATTGTTCATCTACCATGAATATGTATTCTTAGTAATTCAATATGACAATTCACTGGATGTCTGAAAAGAAACAATATTTGTTTTTACCCTTTTATTGTGAATATTGCGTGAAAAAAATCGTCAAACTTAACGGGTTTCCTAATTGTACAATTATGCATGAAGCTAGATAAACTTTAAAAAAAGTATTACTTAAAGGGACTGTACGTGTAATTTCAAGTGACCCTCCATGCAAAAATGGCAATGCCCGATTCACAGCCGTACCCTTAAAAGCTTTATCTGATCAAGCATGAATTTGATGTCAATGTTTATAATTCGAAAAACTGATCTATTTTCAATTGTTGTTTCTATTCAAAAATACCTTGCGCATTTTTACTGCAGGAAGACATAACGGAATTTTCTAAATTGAATACTTTTAAATACTAGAAAATCTACAATATCTTTCACATTATTGATCAGAATGACCGTATACACAATTTTGTGAGGTGGAGCGGCAGGGTGAATTTTTTAGAACATTTTATCTGCTAATTTTTTTTGCAAAACAAAATTATATTAAATATTAAATTATTTCGTCGATAAAACATTTTCTTAAATTTTGTATACAAATTGAAATTTAAACACTATACTGTTCTTGGCAATAATTATTTAAATACTGAAACACTGTACACTATATTATGAATGTTTACAATAGAAAATTTAAATTACTAATTATTGAGAATTTATCTATTTTAGCTCTTTCTTATAAATGTTTGCAAATACAATTTTTTTAAAGAAAAGTTGTAGCAATGACATTTTTAAAACAAGTTTAATTGTTTCTATTTTCATAGAATTTAGTAATTTTTTAAAATTCACGGTGCCAGGAATTTAGTTCTCCATGAACCTTCACCTGGTTTTCAGCTTTTTTGAAATTTCGAGTTGCAGACAGACATGCAGACATTAAGACAAACTAAAAAAATTATAGATATATGTTAGGCCTAATTCGTTTAGGTATTTTCTTTATTCCCCCCATCCTCCCCCTCACTCTTTGCTTGAGCATTTATGGTACACTTCAAATTTTGGTTGAAAAATTTACAATTTTTTTTCTGATGTTTATTTTTTTTACACATATTTTTTTTAATTCTATGAGCTTTTCATTAATTAAAATGTTTTTATTTTTGAGTTTTAACTAAAAGTTTGAATTTCTTGTTCCCAAAACCCCAATTTATATGATCATGTTTTACTCATTTTTTGGCCTTTTTTGTCACAGTGTAAGTTGGTTCAAAAAGTTGGTTCCTGAAGTAAATTTTAAATGAGTAAGGTGAATGAATCAGGAAGATAATGTCGTCATTATTTAGATAGAAGCATTAACATCTATTGGTAATTTCTAGGTATCTCGCGGAAGTAGAGTAATGAAACCAGTTTCAAAGAAGATGAAAGCATTTGCTCAAAGCCACGCAGACGTATGGACAAAAATAGAAGCAGTAATCCCCAAAGGTTTGAAGTACAGGTAAAAAAACGTTATTTTTGATCTATTCACTTAATTTAGAAATCAAATTCCTTTGCATGTTAACTGTTCCATGAAAATATAGAAAGAAAAATTGTCAGCAAGAAAACAAAAAAAAACTTACCTTTACTTTGATGAAGCTTAGATATTCAGGGGAGAAACTGATAGTTTTAAAACTTTTCAGAGTAAGAACGAATTTGAAATATGAGATCTATGTTTCGCGGATGTTTTGAAAAATAATCAGGCTTTAAATTTTTTATATACAGTCATAATCAGAAAGACCCGTAATTAATTGACAGTGAAGCAGGCGACTTTACATATATATCTCTGGCAATTTTAACATTTCGGAAATGGCAGGACTGGGGCCACTTTGTATATTTATCGTTTCATCAATCATATTTGTAAAATTATATTGTAAGGTCGTCTGATTAATTGTAAATTAATTCCGGATCTTTCTGATTAGGACTGTATGTACATAATACACATGTAGTTCTTTTCACCAGGACTTTAGCCAGGGTTCAGGGAACCCACCTTAAAAATTTATTCTACACTTTAATATTGAGATATTTAATATCTGACAAAAAAGTGTTGAAAATTTACAATATTTTGTACACAATCTTAAAAATTTTTTTGGCACAAATAATTTAGGTAAATTTTGAAGGAACATTACAGGAATATTTTTTTAATTCTTCAAGGTGTCTGAAAAAAAGTGTGTCTAAGCTTTTTTTGTCATTTATTGAATACTAGAAAGTGTCTCTAGTAATTAGTTATGCTCATAAATAATAACAAAATTTTAAAAACATTCTATGGCCCGTGGCTGCAACCACCCACCAGTTTTAGTCGGCGACCCGGCATCCCATTCCATAACACCCATCTTTGCATTCCTCTTGGAAAATCCCTGGCTAAGGACCTGCTTTTCACACATGCCACACCTCTTGTTCCGTCGTTTATATTCATATCCCTGATCCTTAATTGTGCAATTGTGCAGTGTAAACAGCCCCATTTTAGTAAATTATTGATTTAACAAATGTGTAATAAAACTATTTGCTTTGTAACAACATCAAATACACTTAAGTATTGCTATAATGTCGTCTTCCTTCCTATTCAATTGTTTTTTGACTATCACTATTATCGAGAATATGAGAAATAGGACGACATGTTTAACGATCATTTTCTAAAGGAATTGATTTTTTGCCACAAATTCAAATTTTCTCGAGTCCCTGTATCTTTGCATTCTGATGATGTGTATCTTTGATATTTCAAACTTAGACTATTTGATCTAGCAAAATTCATAGTTTGAAAAAAACAAAGGTCTGCAACATTGGGTTGCAAAGATATAGGAGTTAGAAAATCAGAGTTTGTGTGAAAAACTCAATTCCTTTGCACTCTTTTTAAAATCTTCTCTTTAAAACTAGTTTTCAATTGAAATCGACAATTAAAACACATGCGTGGTTTAAATTATCTAGTGTCAAAGCGTTCAATAGTGAACATGGCAGTAGTTCAATAGCACATGCCCCCTATAGATATAAAAACCGTCGTCTTCCGATATTCCTGACAGTTTAAGTAGAGTCTGGGTCACAATTCTTCTAATTACTATTGAAAAAGTGAGCCATGTTAAAAATCATACCTTTTTTATTTCAGTTACTTTATCCAGTTGAATGCTGTGAAGGGTCCCGATGCTTCTGGCCCTGCTTACTACAATATGTCGATGGCCAATATCACAATGAGTCCACAATGTTTTGGATTAGGTGTAGAGAATGTTTCCTTAGACTGTTGGCGACATGACCTCGTCAAACAACCCAGAGAAATGGCAGATTGCATGGGTAATGTTTAANGGGGGTAAGGGTTGGCGCCACCTTTATATTTTTGCCATACCGCTCTTATTTTGTAATAAATGACAAATTTGGCATAATGTAATATTTTGATTTTAGAAAATATCAGTAGAAGTAATATGTCGTAAATTAAATAGGAAAACTTCTAAATTTTGTCTTTGCAGTACGAGCCTCCGCTTTAGCACAGCTTCTTTAGAACTCCTACGTATAATACATTTTTTACATTTTTTTCACATAATGGCACACGAATTTTACTAACGATTTAGATTTATCATTAATATCAAAATTAATATATCTTTTTAATTATCTTAATCTAATAAGAATTTCAGGATTTCAAAGAAAGGAGTGCTTATTCAAAGATTATGAAATGTCAGATGAAATTTAATTCGGAATTTTTCTCCAAATATTTTCCTTTTCGCGTAAAACTTTTTAAATAATGCTCCGTAATGTTATGTAATTATAAGAGCTGTTTTACCCAGTATTTAAAGCTTTATTTTTATGTATCTAATTTTCTTAAATAAAAATTTTTTTTCCGAACATATTTTTTTCTGGTATGCATTTTATAAACAGGACATTATTTGTGAATTGAAATAGCCTTTCTAGTTGTACTAGATATGCAATCCAAATCATGTATTTTTATTAGGCACTAGCTAAGAGCCCGGCGTTGCCCGTGGAAAAAAATAAAATTATTTTGAAAAAAATTTGAAAAAAGAAGAAAAAAAAATTGAGATTTTTTTAGCCTATAAAATATTAAATTATGTTAAATACATATACTATAGATGTTTTAAATAATTTGTTTTAGGAGTCCCTTATCCAGAGGATACAACAGGAGTTTTCAGGAAAATATGATAATTTTATCAATCTTGAGACCGAATTTAAAGATTTGAGCGGCGGCTTAAATTTAAGCCGCGGCTCAAATATGGTTGGTTTCACTTAAAATTGTATTAATGTTTCTAGATTTAAGCCGGCGCTCAATTGAAACCGTTATTTTGGATTTAAGACGCGGCTCAAATTCATTAAATCCGGATATTGATTGTTCTTCATGCAAATAAAAGTACAAAAATACAATATTTTCTACAATTTCTGAAGAAAAAGTTTTGTATTCTGTAAGTAGGAAATTAGGAAACTTTAACAAATTTTATATTTAATATCTTCTTATTTATAAATAAAATCATTATTTGCTTTTGAAGTTATGCATTTACAACCTGTGCGGAGAATGTAGGACCGAGGGGACCCTGGAAAGAGGACTGCACACCATATTATGAGTACCAAGGTATGCTACTGGTTGTCGTAATTTTATTTGTAAGAGCTAAATATTGTTACAGGTGGAAATACGACATTTGTGGACATGCTTTCTTATGGTAAAACAATCGCATCGAATTCAACAAATGGCGGAGAGATAGGTAACTATATATTAAACAAGAAAAAACATTTCAATTTGAGTTGGTCATGTTCCCTTTACTTTCTTTCTACATTTAACAAAGTGCGCGAAAAAGAAGACTTTAATAATTTAAATATTAAGACATGTTTATTCTGAGGGTGGCGCCGCTTAATTTCAGGAGCGTATACAGGAATTTTATGTCCCCATACAGGCGCGTAGTGGAGGTTTAGCCTAGGGGGGTGCACTTTTTTGTGCACCCCCCTAACGGTTGATGTGCACCCCCCTAAAAAACCGGTATTAAGAAAAAAATAATTTTATTTTTAATCTATATTAATCTACCATAATTACGAATAATTTTAAATGAAACCCTGCGAAAAAAATATTGTAAATAAGATTAAGGTACAAGAAAGAATTTGAGAAATAAAATGGACAAATTGTGACATTGTCGATTGATAAGAAAAGTAAAAAGTCTGAATATATATGTAAGTTTACTGTTTAATAAATTAGAGCCTGCCTCTGGAGCTAGGGGGTGCATGTCTAGGGGGGCACAGTGGTACCGGCCCCCCCTCCACTACGCACCGGTCCCAATAGCCGCCCCACCCTGTATACACCTCTGCTTTATTTTATATAAAATGTACATTGTACAGACATAATTGATAGAATCATATATTTTAATTGCCTTTCCAGTGTCCAGAGTTAGAGATCAACCATCCCTAGAACTATTTTATTTAGCAGAGGCGGCATAAGCGGGATGGGGATGGAGGACGTTTTAAAAATACCTTTCCTTTTAGGGAGGTTTTTTTCAAATTTAGGGGCGCTTCGGGTAATTTTCTAATTATCCCCCTCCCCCCTGCAAAATTTCAAAAACCATCCCTGTCATACAGGCATATATAGAATAGCTTATTAGATTTTTATGTGCCCGAGCCTTGAATGCCAAGAAATACATCAGATCAAGAACGGATCCAAAAATGATATCTACAGTCAGGGGCGAATTTGACCCTTGACTGTTCCTTATCTGTGCACTGTATGTACTATGTAGGTTTCAAGGGTATATATAAATCTCGGTATTAGTACTTTACAGTCTAGGAAGGTACTGTCAATTGATGTAATACATGTGTTGTGTTTTTTGTTCAATTGAAAATACTATAGGTTTAAAATAGATCAGCATGCGTTCTGCAGTCGGACCCCTCCATTTATGATCCTGTATATGTAACTTTATGATGTAAATGTAAAGAATTGAAAAAATTGATTAACTTTAAATTTTAAGGCTTGTTTATGAAGAATACACCAATTGGAATACAAAAATGGACCGCTCCCCATGGGGGCGTTTTTACGTGAGTATTTTTGTTTTGACAATTTTTTTTTAAAAATTTGATAAGACTAAAAAATAGAGCTATTTTAAAAAATTAAATTTTCTATATAAGAAAAAAACGGCGACAGTAGTTTTGCAAATATGCACCACTATCATCACAACAATGACGAGCTTCATGCTTGTAATGGATATAGTATAATAAAGTACCCCGCCCCCCCCCCCAAAAAAAAAACCAAAAAAACAACACAATTTTCTTGTGTAAGTCGGTTCAGGCTGTGAGGAAGTAGTTAATTTTAGACAAATTGGTTCAATAATGTCTCAATATTCATTAAATCTGGTCAAGGAATAGAAAAGAACTAATTTAAATTAAATTTTCTATATGTGCAAGAATTTATTTTGAAATTCCTGAAAGTAGATTGATTTTCTACCCTGCTGAATTAATTTACTTCTTTTCCAAACCTGAATTTAAATGCTTTCTTAGAGTAATACGTTTTCTTTATCTAAGGTGAGGGGTATCTACATAGTCAAAGAGCAGTTTGAGTCCAAATGAAATAAACATGATGTTTTAGTGTGATAGCTAAAGGTGCTAGTGGAGGACACGGTCGACTCTCTAGACGGTCATCTCACGGGGCGATCCTAACCGCACTTATCAAACTCAATAAAGGTATAAATTCTTTTTGATTTTAATTTCTAATTTCTAAAATTAATTTATCTAACCTAAACACTGATATTACTTGTAAACTTGATTTAGATGATGTTTTATACATTGTGGTGGGACAAGAAGGTCAATCTGCCTGTGTTGTTCAAGGTGTCGAGAGTAAACACGGACTCTGCTCTTTACAGGCACTTAGATTAAAAACAAAACTTTTCTGTACGGATTAAATTAATATGATGATGTTATTTAAATAAACTTAAAGTCATTAGAAATAAGAAATATAAAACATTAATATGCAAATAATTTAGGGATTTGATTTAATAAATAACGCCGAAAGCTGGATTTCCCAAGGCGAAGCCGGAAGTTACAGTTTTAGATCAGAAGGACGTTTTCAAAGGAGCTACGAAGCTGGGGGAAATAGATGGGATGAAGAGGAAGCTGGGGGAAATAGATGGGATGATGAGGAAGACCAATTTCAGGAAATTTTCAGAAAACCTCAAAAAAATAAATCTCAAAAGCCTAAGCTAAGAAGAAAGGAAAAAAAAAGAAGACACAAGGTATTTTGAATCGATTACAATTTCAAGTTGTTCCTTTCTTTTCATCAACCCAGAAATAAGAAAAATTGTAAACCTTTATGGCATTTTTTGTTTACTTCTTTGTCAAAATTAAAATGTACAAAATTGTACTCTTTGAAATGGTTAACTCTAGAATTTTTAAAGTTCAAATATTGAATTAAGATTACATACTTGAAAAAAAGTTGTATTTTTAGAGTTTATTTTTGTTTTTCATGCATGCATTTTATCAAATTATTTTGTTTAACATGAAACAATAACGAGAGCTATTAAGGTTAAACCGTCCATTGCAGCCATATTTTAAATTATAAAAAAAATATTTTGAGACTTTCTGCATGCCTCACAGATTTTTCTACGGAAACCTGATGAAAAAACTTCGAACGGAAAATAATTTTGCTCGCTCTACGGTCAAAATTTGATGGGATAATTCAAGAGCCCGAAGCTAGATTTTTAAATTTAAACCAACAACCTTCTCAATTAAAATTAAATCTTGTGTTTCTACTGTTTCTAGTTTTCTTCTCACAATACATTCAACTCCTTTATGTTTAGAGAACAAGTTACGATAAATGAATTATAGCATTGAAATTATGGATGAAAACTATTACGGGTGGATTCAGGACATTTAACTGATGCTTAGTGAGCTTATGCTTATTGCTTTATTAATAAGGGTAAATAATGTTGATTATGAAATTGTAACAGTCTTTGTTTAGGAAAACTTCCAGTCCGACGAGCCAGATCCAGACATTATCCAGGGCAAGGAGATATTGTCTGTTCCTCCAGATAAATGTATGGGAAAAGACTGTCTCAGGTGGGAAACTGCGGAATTGTTGTAGAATACTGATAAAGAAGATTAAAGAGATGTAAATGAAAACTAAAACTAAAATTAATTTTGATAAAAAGCCCATATAATTGAGTATCATAATAATCCAAATCGAATTATATAAAAGTTTTAAATATACATATTATTTTAGATGGATTGAAGAGATAAACAAATATCACCCCAGTTATCAAAGTGGTGGGGGAGGGGGCGGAGGAGCCACAATAATTTTTAAGGTTAGCTTACCAGGTTTTTATTTATTTTTAAAGTTAGACGAGCAAGTTTTTTCTTATTATAGAGCACATGATTAGTGAACAAATTGTACGAATCGATCTAAAAATTCTTTCTAGACATTTAGTATGTGAATATATGGTATTGCCTGAATTTTGAACAAATTTTGAATAAAACCTCGGGGGCGGGGGGGGGGCGGGGGAGGATTCTTATTAAGGGAAAGAATCTTAGGAATTTGGTATTTACAATGCAATGTCAAGAAATAAAAAAAAATCTGAAAAAGGAGGAGAAATGCCTATTTTATTAGATTTTTTTGGTTGATTTAATGAAAGACATTTATTTTCAATAAATTTTGCAATTCCAAAGTTAAAGTTTACAAGAATTTTTATTTTAAAGCTGGACCATGAGCTTTATCCTCGCCCAATTCTTGTTGCTGGTGGTGGTGGAGGTATGGCAGATATATCAGGTGAATACAAATTTCAAATCGACAACACTATTCAACACTTATTTGGGAGATATGTGGTTTTAGCTAGAATGTGACATTTAAAGAAATTGAGTTTTTGACAAAAACTTAAGTTTTCTTATCCCTAAATCATGTAAAACCTAATTGGGTAAACCTTTAATATTTCAAACTTAGATAATTTGATCTAACAGATTTCAAATGTCAAAAGTCTACGACATAGGGTTGCAAAGATATAGGGATTGTGAAATCATAGTTTGTGGCAAAGACTCAATTCCTTTGAAAGGTTTGACTATTTGTACACTAAATACAATGACACGTTTCTGATTTTTGTATTTTTGTCAGCATTTAAAACAAAAGTTACCACTTTGTTTAAAAACCTTATAATAATAAGATTAGGCTTTTTCAAGGCTCTACGCTCCCCTCTTCTATGTTCGTTCAATGTTGCCTATAAAGCGGCCATTTCTTTTTCGTAATTGTAAAACTCAAAATTCTGCGGACTTTTCTGAAGAAAATTTAGTCGACATTTTTTCTAGGCAATTTGTTTCACATTTGATCGTTGCAAAGATACAGGGATTAGAAAATCAGAGTTTGTTTCAAAAACTCAATTTCTTTATAAATAAACTAGAAATTCAAGGCGCTTCGCGCCCTTCTTTCTAGGCTTTTAGGGCGCATCGCCCCCATCTTCTATTTAAATTGTGAACATGTTCTTTTTCTTTACATTTCAAAACAAAGAGAAAAAGAATTTTGCGGATTTTTAAAAATTTAAATTTTTTACAAAATTAAAAACCTTTAAAACACAAATATTTAAAATTTCAATCATTCATAAACCTTCCCTGGGGTCCCTAGATGTCTCACAAAAAATTTGGGCCCGATCGGTTCAGCCGTTTTGACATTTATTGGATACAAACAAACAAACAGACATACAAGCCAAAGGAATTGAGTTTTTGCCACAAACTCTGATTTTCTAATTTCAATATCATTGCAACCCAATGTCGTAGACCTTTAATATTTCAAACTATGAATTCTGTTAGATCAAATAATGGAAGTTTGAAATATCAAAAGTTAACATCATCAGGTTGCAAAGATATAAGGATTACAAAAAATTTATTTGTGGCAAAGACTCAATTCCTTTATATATAGATGAGGATACTGGTAAAAAATTTTGAAACCACAATGGTGGAAAATATACAATTATAAAATAGGAATAGTCAAAGAAAATGGAAATAAAATGCAAAAATTTTAATATCCTTTAATAGCTTTAATATAATACCAATTTTATATTTGATTTAGGAAGTAATGATGCAGACTCTACTCTTCTGTTTAATGCTGCTGATAACTTAACTGATATTGTTCCAGAGTTTACTGAAAGAGGAATAAATCATACCAATAGGTGATTAGATGTACAAAAAAGAATCTCAATCATTTATTTTTTAATACAATTTAGTTTCTTAAAAATGCACTTAATTAGTTTAAATGGTAAGAGCAAATAAAAAATGTTATCTTTAATAATTCTGTTTTTGTTAAAAATTGTTTTTCCTCAATCCATTTCAGTCACTTTACCCTTATAAATTTGGTTAATTGAAAACTGTGAAAAATGTAAATTGTAAATTGTTGCGTATAATATTTTTGTTCTAGAATACGTTATAAACAAACCCTATTTGAAATGGAAACTGTATATTTGATTGAATTGAGAATAGTTAAACAAAAATTTATTTTTTTAACATTCATCGTATTCATTGATTTCAAATCAGCTATTCAGCTTATGTAAAAATATTCTAGATTTTTCTATTTGTTAAAGTCATGAGGAAAGTCATGGAGGGCATGGAGGAGGCTGGAATGAAACTCTTTCAATAGATCGAATGTCTTATTACTTTCAAAAGGTACTTTTATTAAGTTTTATTAAAATAAAGGTTCTAAAACGCCTTTACTAAATGGGAAAAAAACGATTAACTCAATGCAGTTTGTTTAAAATTTGTTACTGTTGCAGTTTTATACACTTAGAGGTATTGCAGCGACATAGACTTTGAATGTATCTTCCTTGATTGTTCATTTTAGAACTATAAAACCTTGATTTTAGCTTTTATTTTTAGATGATTAATGGAGAACTTGAAACCTTTTAATCAATTCAGCCAAAGTTAATTCAAGGTTCGAAAAATGGCCGGTTCAGTGAATATATAAAACTGCAAAAGTAACATATTTTAAATGTTTTTTGTTTATATAGGATACATTGTTTCAGGGTTTGCACTCTGCCTCAGGGGGGAGTCAAAATGAAGTTTGGATGGGTGGCTTCCCTTGCAACTACAGAAGGTCAAAATAATATTCTTATTCTTCTCTTTCTAGCTAACAAAAAAGTCTGATTTCAATTAAAATAAATGGCAAATATTCATAATGCGTTCATTTTAAATTGCATTTAATTTTTATTCTATTTTCTAACTTTATTTCATTTTAAGGCCATACAATTCTAACGTTGGCGTGGTGAATGATGTGTACACGGCAAGATGGGGTGGTTACGGAGGGGGAGGTGGAGGTTGTAAGGGAGGTGGTGGAGGTGGGGGATTTATTGGTAAGATATAAATATTTTCTATGCAAACTGTTATTCTAATTTTAATATAAATAATGCTGGTATACAATTATACCACATATAAATTGAGTCTTTGCAACAAACTCGAATGTCCTAATCCCTTATATCTTTGCAACCTGGTGTAAACCTATGTTTTTTTTCAAACTTTGATTAATTGATCTTTGGGTTGCAAAAATATGGAGATTAGAAAACCAAATTTTGCCGTAAAGACTCAATTCCTTTTCAATCCAAATGTGCAGTGCAGTGCCCTAACTGAAAAAAAACCTGAAAATCATAGATTTTACGGAACTAGGGGGAGGGCTGAGCTCCCATAGTCCCCCCCCTGTGTGTGCCTCTGTTAGTAATCTTGCATTGACATCGGGGAACTATTGAGTTCCTTTTGTTGCCTGAATTATGAAGAGAAAACAAATAACTTATTAAAAAGGTTTATAGACTATATAATATATTATCCAGGTGGAGCTGGTGGGATCAATGGTTCAGAAAACGGTTACGGTGGAATATCTTTTTATGATCCCGAGTTAGTCATATGGTTAGATGAGAGCCTTGGAAAGCATACTGGACCTGGGGAGGTTTTTATTATTCCTGATATTGGTGATTCTAAAAACCAAACACAGTGTAAGTGTTATGACCTTGACTCCCTGTGTATGCCTTTAAACGAAGGGGTCTCCTCAGTTCTATGCTACTGTAAAAATGGAAACACCGTGGACGTGAACGTTCCTTGTACAAAAGGTAAAACATCAACATTTTCTAAAATATCTTCTAATATTTTTCGTGAATTAAGTAAACTATATAGTTATGTAAAAGTAGTTATTTCTGTTTGTCTGTTTGTAATATATCCGATCATAACTCTTGAACTTCTTGACTAATTTGCCTGAAATGTTGATTGGGTATCTCATTAGAACTGTGGGAATGTTCTTAGTATGGTTTGAAGAATTGTTTATCTCCACACAAAGCTGGGTTCCCAAGCTAGTACATAAATATATTAAGTCATAAGCGGTTGAGATCAAATATTGTGGCCCGTGCCAGATCTCAATATGGATATGAGCTAAACCAAACTCAAAAAATCTTATAAAGACGAAGATTGTGCTTAAAACGTAAATTTTCCAATCTAATCAAACTGAAATAATATTGATTACAAGCATATTTTGTCTTTTTCACTGAAATTAGACCAAATCAAAAATAAGATCTGTTTAAAAACACCCTGTTTATATTGAGATATATATACATACTAGGATTTTAGGGCGCTTCGCGCCCATCTTCTATTTCAATTTTTAATTGTAGCTCTATCTGGCAAGCATCTTATATTTGCACAATATAAAACAAAAACAAAAATAAATCGCGATTTAAATAATATTTTTTCGCTTATTTTTAAAATTAACTAAATTCAAAAACTTTTGGAAACACATTTTTGTAATTTTGAGCATCCATAAACCTTTTCAGACAGACAGACAGACAGACAGACGACAGTCAACCAGACAGAAAAAAAGACAGACAGACAGACGAAAAACAGACGACAGACAGACGACAGAAAGACGACAGACAGACGACAGACAAACGACAGACAGACGACAGACAGACGACAGACAGACGACAGACAGACGACAGACAGACGACAGACAGACGACAGACAGACGACAGACAGACGACAGACAGACGACAGACAGACGACAGACAGACGAAGTATATATATAGATATAAAAAAACACTTTTTAAAATAAACTTCTAAAAGTCTCGGTCCTGAAATTCTTTTAAAAATCACCATCCATGCCGGTTAATTTCTTAGAACGGACTATATTCATCAGTTCTTTTATTTATGTGATCAGCCTACTCCTGTCTAGCTCCGTTGTCACTCGTCACAGCACTCAAAGGAATTAAGTTTGCCACAAACTCAAACTTTCTAATTCTTATATCTTTGCAGACTAATGGTGTGAAACTTTGATATTTCAATCTTAGATCTTTTAATCTATCAGAATTCATAGTTTGATATTTCTAAGGTCTAAAAGATTGGTTAGCAAAGATATAAGGGTTCAGACAATTATTTTGCGACAAAGACTCAATTCCTTTGTTAATGCGGACCAGGAAATGCAAACATTTGGGATGCTTGATACACTATTAAGGGCGCCCAACCTAAACTTTTAAAGAAACAAAACAGATGTGAATGATCAACAGGTGAAGGTCTAGATGTAGGTTTAGTGGAAAACCCCGTCATGGAGAGTGTTGGCAGAACGAGACAGGAATAAACCACAAAGTCAACCAAATTGGAAAATGTTAAAAACAAATCTGTAATTATTTTAGGATAGATAAAGCTTGTGTCTATATATGAGATATTTGACAAAAAGTGTCAACGGGCTCCAGGAATAAGTTAATTGCATCCAAAATATCAGCTGATTGACATTAGCTGGTCCGAAAAATCAACTGAGCATGGATAGTGAGGTTTTTAATAAATAGAACTACGAGGGCTAAGAGGTCATAATATTACCTCGAAAATTTATTTTTCAAAACTTAATGAGCACACCTCGTATCTATTCAAAATTCATACAATTAATCAACTCTTAAACTTTTGTAGAGATTCCAACATTCTTTCTGGTCCTGCTGGTAATTGGTTGCATTGTTCTCGCTGCTGTTTCAGGGTTACTTTGTATGTGCTTATGTAAGTATATTTATAATTTATGCATATATGGTTAAAGTTTATCACATATGCTTGCTTCTTATAATTAGCTTCCTATCAATAATTTTTGATTGAGATGGAAAAATTGTTAAGTTAATCATTTTCAAGGCCTCAATTTTCCTGTTAAAAAATGTTAACGCTTCACTTTATGCATAGTAATTGTATTTTAATCAGAAATCCTTAATAACGACCAAGCATAAATATAGTGTAATATAATATTTAGCATTGTACAATGTACATACGTATTCAGACACTCAGTATCAAAGAAGACGACTGGTCCGGAATAAATTGCGAGGCCCTGACGGTCAACTAAGCATGCTAAGGTCAATTGTAACACTTTTTTGTTTGTTAACAAAAACAATATTTTTTAATATTTGTTACCATCCTAAATGTACACTTTTAATATACTCAATCTCTTTTTCAATTACACACAAAAAAGTTATTTAGTTCATACCACAGACTTTTAATCAGCTTTCACAAGCTGGGCTAAGTAGGCCCATAGTCGTACCGGTACGGCATTCTATATTATTATTGTTTATAATACCCATTCAAGGGTTAATTTTTACAATTTTTAAAGAAATACTCTAACTTTTAACATAGACATAAAATTGATGAATTTAGTCTATTTTTAAAGAATTCCTTAAATATCTACTTATTGGTGGTGTACTAAAGTTGTATACACAATGAAACTCGTTGTAGAAAATATCACATATTCCACCCTTCATTAGATCTCTGTACTCTCTTATCTCTGGTTCTCACATTTTTGGGTAAGATATGTTCTATACCATGTTATTTTAGAAGTTCTAACGGTATTATGATGACAGAATACAACCCTAATTATGAATTTGGAGGTGGCAGTTGCTCTTTGATGGATTTAATGGAAGTAGAGCGGGATAAAATTAGACTTGTCAAGTAAGATATGAATCTTCAGTTAGGTTTCAAAGGAATGTAGTTTGGATTAGAATTTGTTTTACTATTTGTTTCTGTTCAATACAAAACCAGATTGGAATTCGTTTAATTTTCTTTTACCCTTTTGTACAGAAAGAATCATTTAATTTAATTATAAAATTATTCAATCCTTTTATTGACTAGGCATTCATAGGCGGTTAGAGAGGGTTGCAACCATGGAGGCTAAACGGTGAAAGGCTATGGTGGCTCAGCCCNCTGAACCCCCCCCCCCCACAGTGGGGTATGGCGTTTATTCCATAAACCTCTTATTTATTTCAAATAGGGTTTGTCCGCTTAAAAATAATTTTTTGAGTGAAGTCTCTATTGTTGTTTAAATGTTATGTTTTAGTTAAAAATTTCGACCAAAAACCCGCAATTTCACTAAAAACTCTTAAAATGGTATTTTTCAACCTACTCTGATTGAATCAAGGATTTGGCGTGCTGCTGACGCCCCTATTTTTTTTCTATATGGCTGCTAGAATCTATTTATATATTTAGATTATCCCGAAACCGCTGTGCTTTCTTGTACTTTTGTTATAAAATATATGTTCCCTGTAGCAAAGACGACTTTTAAATATATTGCGGCTTTACATGATCCATTCAACAATAAATATATGAACGGGAAAAGTAATTATAAATAAATACAAGCCAAAAGTGATACAATGTTTGTAAATTAAAAGATTATCAGAATATATTCATTTTGTCCATCCTTACTAGTCAGCATGAAATACAAGACAAATGCATTTTAAGAGGACTAGTATTGTTACAAAAACCAGTCACTCCAACCCCCCCCCCCCCGACCCCTTAAAATACCCCTCCATTGAAAAAAATGTAGGCCTCCTATACAAATTCCTGTGTACGCCCCTGGTTGCAACAGTCTGGTAAACCCCCTTGTCTCCTTGCCTGTGCATTAAATTAAATTCAAAATTTCTTCATTAAACCATATTGAACCGTCTGACTAATATGCACTCAATCTACAAATTACATTTTCTTTAAATACATTGAAAAATGGAAAGTCGTGGAGAAAGGGGATTTTCAGACAATAGCTTTAAACATAGACAAACATTAGGGTTTATTATCTTTGACTCGGCTTTTCTTCTTCAGACAGCATTTTATTCCAGAGCTCTGGGTCAGGGGGCCTTTGGTGAAGTTTATCAAGGATACTTTAAAAAATCGTCAACAGACTCTAGTGAGGTTGCTGTTGCTGTCAAAACACTTCCAGAGCTATCAACCAATCAAGGTTATAATTTGATTTGATACATGGATACTATGGAACTAATTTCTGTTTGAGTGTAAGAGGAAAGCGTTTTTGGGTCATTAAAGATATAAACAATATTTATATATATTAAATAGACTAATTTATTATTAAAATATTTCAACAAATAATTTATTGGTTTTTGATATTGAAACTATCAAAGAATTATGCTTTATTAAACTATTTAATACTGTACATATGTAACTAGTATTCTTATTTTTCAAATTTTAGCTGAAATGGATTTTCTGATGGAGGCACTAATAATGAGCAAGTTCAATCACTCAAACATAGTTCAATTTATTGGAGTTTGCTTTGATACTCATCCCAGGTAAACAAAAGAGGAGATATTGAGTTGTTTAAATATAAAGCACGACATACCAGTATTTTTAATCCCTCGTTTTTTGTACTAAACCAGCCAAGAGTAAAATATCGGATTATCTTTTGCAGGTTTATAATCCTGGAGTTGTTGGATGGAGGAGATTTGAAATCCTTTTTACGGGAGTCTAGACCTAAACATGTGAGATTTTTTTCTTACATTTATTGTTATAAGAATATATAATTTTAATCTATTATCAAAAGAAATAATTTTAGTCTGTCATTCTTTTTGAAGACTTAATCATTTTTACTAGCTTAAGTGTTTAATATTTATACTTTAGGAGTATAACAGTGAAAATCAAAATATGTAAAAATAAACTTTTTAATGAGAATTTTTTAGTATTTTTAGTGATTTTAGTATTTTAAAACAGCAAATATAAGGGGAAAATATGTTCGCGCATTCATTAAAAATCGGAAATATAAATATTTAGTTTTAAAAAACGTTTCTAAAGATGTTAAATATGATTTTTTTTAACGGAATATTGATAAACATTTATTTTTTAGGATCGACCGAGCTCACTTACTATGAGAGATCTTTTAAATGCTGCTATAGACGTATCGAAGGTATTTTGAATTGTAATTATATACAAATTTTGTAAACCCCATTTCTTTGCAACCTGATGTGGTGACCTTTCAAATTATGAATTCTGTTAGATCTAATAGTTTAAGCTTAAAATATCAAAGGTTTACACCATTAGGTTGCAAAGATATAGAGATTGGAAAATTTAAATTTTAGGTAAGAACTCAGTTCCTTTATTTAATTATAAGTTGTTGACATTGGAATCTTCGTTAATTTGTCTATTTATATATTAAATAAATAAAAACCCCAAAAATTGTAACCAGCATTTACGCATAATAATCTAAGAATTCCAAAAATATTAAATTTAGATATTTTGTTAGAACTAAATTTCTTTGGTTTGTTTGAAAATACTAGGTTCCTTCAACAATGTAAGAATAACAATTGAAATTTTTATTTAAAACTTTGAAATTTTAATGAACTACCGTTAATAGATATTTCCTTTTCCAATGCTAAATTTTTAATACATGGAATTCTATTTATACCAGTAAAACATTTGTATAGGGCTGCAGCTACTTAGAAGAAAATCATTTTATACACAGAGATATAGCAGCTAGGTATCATATCATCCTTTTTACAAATATTCCAATTTTCATTTTCACATGATATTCTAAAAGATTATCATACTATATTATCTAGAATATCATGTATTTTTGAATTTAATTTCCGATTTTAAGATTTACATTTTTTATGTACATGATTTTTTTTATTAATTTTGAAGCAAATGCATCATGTATCGGTGTATAAATAACAGATAGGACACTAGATATCGTCTTTTCAAGATTTATGTGTGTTTCGTTCACAATAACCCTGAGGCCCAAAGGAGTTACGCGTAGTCGGCGTAAAATAGGCTCTTTATCTGTCTTTTTCTACGCCGACTACGCGTAACGTCTTTGGGCTTCTGCCTCAGGGGAACGAAACACACATAAATATTGAAATGATGACATATACTGTCCTATCTGTTATTTTAATTAATCCATGATTGATGGATTCATCATTGTTGTTAATTCATTTCAGAAAAATTGAAATCTTTATGATTGACCTGAAACTTTTTCTTCCCCCTAATCATTGATATCTTTTCATCTCTTTTATGTTAGAAATATTGCGTATTAATTATGAATAAATGGTTTCCTGGGAAATTATCAAAAAGAGGTTGGAAAGTTGAAGTTCCATATTTAATTTTTTTCCCACAAAAAGCTTCAAAATAATTTTCCCGTGATTTTTTTGATAATACATTTGACTATTAACCACTTTTGTGAAATAGTGAAGTGTTACCATAAAAAACTTTTTTGACCTTTTTAGGAACTGCTTACTTACTTCAAAAGGTCCTGGAAGGGTTGTTAAAATAGCTGATTTCGGAATGGCTCGAGATATATACAGAGCAGATTATTATAGGTATAAATCTTTCCTAGTCCGAAAATTGAATTTATTAAATATAAAAATTGGCAAGCCTTTGAAGTTTCACTACCAACTCCCAATATTTAAATGTATTTTATATGAGTAAATTAGAAAAAAATGCATACAAATACATGACAAGGATGATTTGAAAATACTTCAATAATATCTTGGAACGGTATTAATTTTTAAAATTTGGTGCCGATCGGTTCAGCCGTTTTGAAGTTTATTGGATACAAACAAACAGACAGACAGACAAGCTTAATTTATATATAGATGGATTACCCTTTAATCAAAACTGGATATTGATTATATACAAATCTTCAATTGGTGTGCACTTCTTTTCATATCTGGTTTTGATTTCAGGGTTTGTAAATTGTTGAAGGGAATTGTTGTGTCTCGAAAAAGAGGAAAGTTTTCCCCGGAAAAAGTCTGAAAAGAAGTTCAAAGTGTACATTTTATGTAAATGTTCATTTCTTTCTTTTTATTTAAAGGTGTCAGTGAATTAAAATCATGATTCATTTTAAATTAACATAAAAATCGCTTGCTTAATTAATCAACAGTAAACGACAGACAATGTCCCAATATTGTGATTCAATAGTTTCCCACTAATCTAATCTTCTCACGCAGAAGCATGTTTATACCATCTCAGATATGGGACACATATTTCTGAGTAAACTATATGATTTATACTTAGAAAGGAATTGAGTTTTTGCCACAAACTCTGATTTTATAATCACTATATCTTTGGAACCAAATGTTGCTGACCTTAGATATTTCAAACTATAAATTCTGTTAAATCAAATAATCTGAGTTTGAAATATCAAATGTTTACAACATCGGCTTCTGAAGATATTGAGGTTTAAATATTTGAGTTTGTTCCAAAGACTCAATTCCTTTGTGTCATTGTATTTTGGAACAAGTTTGAGCAACTAAACTTTACGGCGAATGGATAAGGATATGTAAAACTTAGAAGTATTAGAAAAAAATCTCCATTTTTAATGTCTGAAAAATGATAAGTTTAAAATTATAAGAAAAACATAAGGCATGAAAACACCCGTCAGTTTTGTCCTTTGGTGGCCGTGCGGAGAGTAAGCTCTTCAGGGGTCTCCAGTGAAGATATCACTTCGGTGCCGCGCTCCTACTGGTCTGCAGCGCTCTCTCCGCGCTCTCCGTTCGCGTTCGTACCAGGCGCGTTTCTAAAGTTCAAGCAGTTTTAAAGGGACTGATCCTGACAATTTGGATGGATCGTCCAAATTGCTGTACTCGAAGGAGTTAGGATGGTTTAGCCAGCCTCAGAAACTGTATGTGGGGGATTAGAGAAGGAGGGGTTTGCGCGGATAAGAAAGAGGATTAGGTTTTAAGTTAGGAACTAAATACTTCAGAGGTTTGCAAAAAGGCAAATTAAAATATGTAGGTCAACCAGAACCGTGCAATCGTATGAGTGCAGAAAACCCGTCTTAGAGTAATACTGGATCGATAGATAATTTGTCTAATCTTGATACACATACAGTTCATAGGAAAAGCTCTGTACGACCATCTTTAGGCCAAAAATGTCTGCAAAACAAATAACTGCAGAGATCCCGTGCACTACTCGAAAAATGTTTTTCTTCATGAACATAATCATAGAATTTCATAATTAGTTCACAGTTTTTCAAGCCAGGACGGAAAGATTAAGGAGATTGTGTATTCCTTATATATTATGGGTGATCGATTTAAGCCTTTTTTTGTAAATCAACTAATCCGCCTTCTAGAGGTTAATAGTAAACACATTGAAAAGGTTTTATGTCAAAAAACAACTATTATTATTAGTATTTTTTTAATCTCAATTTAGCATTAAATTTCCAAGAAAATGAAGTGTGACTTGAAATTTAAAAAATTTTTGTTTAAAACTTTTCAGTAATTTTTAGTCTAATTGTTATACATATGTGCTCCAGAAGTTCATTGCTTGAATTGATGAACGATACCGAAAATCTGCGGAACAAAATATAAAATATAAACCAATAATGACAAAAAATTATTAGTTTAAGAACATTTTAAATAAAATAGTATAGTATAACAGAGGTTAAACTTAAAGAAAATGTTTTATTTAGGAAAGGAGGAAAGGCTATGCTTCCTGTAAAGTGGATGCCCCCTGAAGCCTTTCTTGATGGAATCTTTACATCCAAGACTGATATTTGGTCATTTGGTATCCTGTTGTGGGAGGTCATGTCATTGGGGTATATGCCATACCCTGGCAGGGGGAACCAGGAGGTCATGCAATTAGTCACCAACGGAGGTCGGTTGGAGCCTCCAAACTATTGTCCTGGTCCTCTTTACGGCCTCATGTGCCAGTGTTGGCATCCCATACCTGAAGAAAGACCGACCTTTAAAACCATAATGGAACGATTAGGCTACTGTGTTCAGGTATTTTAATTTAAAACATCAAAATATATCATGCAATAACACTGCTTGTCAAAACTGGGACTGGGCACGTTCAGAACGGTCTGCTATACTAAAAGTTACCGTTCTTAAAGAAACTCAATTTTTTGAACAGCGTTAACGAAATATATTTCATAAATCGTTAGCGTTGCCAGCTGTTAACGAGCCGTTAACGATTATTTTATGTAAAAATAGCTAAGGACAACATTAAAAAACATTGAAACATGTAAAAAACTTTAAAATACATAAATTTATTTTGAATTTTCTATGAGTTTCATGCAATTTTAAGTTGAAAAATTACCACAAGTTGCCGTTATTTTGAAACACGTTGCCTTGTCATAGTCAAAACATTTGCTAACCAAAATTAAATAAATTTTACTTGTATAGTATATTTTGTATCTGATTGTCTGATGAAATGTTAAATCTGTGGTATCTATTCTTAATTTAATATTTAATAATTTTCAGGACCCAGAGGTAGTAATGGCCCCTCTTCCTGTGTTTCATAGACCACTTGATAGTATTGCATCCTCCAGACGAGACATAAACGAAGGAAACTCTTCTGGCAACTCAGGATCTGGTGGGAGTGTGAATATTGGACCAACCGCCAGACAAAGTCAGCCAGCAGCAGACTATCTAGGTAAGTCCAAATGAACCATTGTGTCGATAATATGTAGTCCCTTGCATCCCCTAAAAGTCCGATTATTAAAAAGTTTAGTTCAATGAATTCGAATAAGGTTTTGGATGAGAGTTTTATTCACGAAAAATTAAATGGGAATAAAATGATACCTAATCACATTAATAAAAGATCGGTACCATTATTGATTCTACCTAGGATTTTCAAGCGCAAAAACGTTTTATAAAACTTCGGAAAAATGGACAAAAATTTTTTAATAATTGTCTTTAATATGTTTCTACTTAGATTATAAATAAAAAACTAGCCTTTTAGAAAATGCACATCTGGCTATGTTTATACATTCAGTAAGTTTTAGCACAATAATGCGCAACGTTTGTATAAAAAAAACAGAAATACTGGAGAATCATTTTTTGTCCTTCATTACGTTTTTGTTTTGTTTTGGCATGTAATAAGATCAATTTTTAATTTTCACAGATTAGTTATTTTTGAGCAAATTGTGATTGTAAACCCTAATTCTACCCGATGATATTGAAATTGTTTTCATCAGACCCAAGCAATTTTATGCTTCTTAAATTTAGTACAACTTAAAGTATTTAAAAAATACTCAATTGAATTTATAATTTTTGTAATCCGAATAGTTTAGTTTTGCTCCATAGATACTCGAGTGTTTTGCTCCATAGATACTCGAGTGTTTTGCTCATATTATAATAATTTTTTTTCTTCATTTACTATTTGAAAGGATCTTGTTAACAGTTTCCAAAACAATATTTTGATCAAACATTCATTTTTAAGTGATAATTGAATTTCAAAGCAAGCATTGTTAAGGCTATATTCTATAAACCAAGTAATCATCCACTATCGTAGTTTTTTGTTATGCTAGTAATTTGAGAAATAAATTAATAGTGACCAGTTCGCCACCTAATTAATTAAAAAGCTGACTGAAAATCCCCTTCGTAAAGTTTGTTGTCAAAAACCTTGAAAAAAAAACTCTGATATCTAAAATGCAATATCACTGTAACTAATCTCTAAATAATAAACTTCTTTTGATATTTTAGTTCCCAACAGCTCTTCAAAAAATAACAAGGGATCAGTGGAATCTGGAAACTTCAGCATGAAAGAGACCTCCTTTACAATACCTTCTGCATCAAGGGGTCGTGGAAATTATAGTAGCATTCAAACAGATACACATCATCAATCACCAGCACACCTTGTACATACTTCTCCTCGTCCTTCCAGATGGCCCTCCCACGGCTCCGATCTATCTGACCTAGTGAGTGAATCTAAATCTACAGAACCACTACTACCATCCCCGGCTAGTCCTTCCCTTGACTTAGAAGGCATTCCTCCCCCACCTCGTCCATATCCAGGACCACCACCTCCAATTCCCCCTCCTCCTCACCCTTACAAAGACCATGCTCTACCGTTAAATCCTTCGCAGTTACGAATGGTTCCTTCTAGTTATGCCAATATTGGAGTTACTGAACGTGGAGCATCTTTGTGTGAGAATATTCATTCTGGAAAGAAATTGTTCCCAACCGGAGAAATCTCTGTTTAACCTGTAATTCTTTAACGCAGATAGAAGTAATCCTATAAAAAGCATGATGCTTGACAAATTATGCCAAATGCCAAAATTTATTACATTTGAATGAATGGCGTATTTTTATATGAATTCAGGACAACTTTTGTACAAGCTTAATATTTGTCTGATGGGTGAAGAGTAGAAAGATTTATTTTCATTGATATATTTATGTTACCTGGTTGAGTATTTAAGTAATATTAAAAATTTTGTATTTATGAAATTATGACCAAATCACTGAATCTAATGAAGAAAAAACTAAAGAAATAATGGGTTGACCCAAAAATTGTAATAATTGATGGTAAATTAATCTGAATTCATAATAGAATATGGCGAATGCAGATAAATCGCCAGATATAAGTGTGGACAATTTTTAAAAGTTTAACGGGTATTATCGTGTATATATAAATATGGGTGAGGTGAGAGGGGGTGGGGGGGGGGGTGATACACCCCGATGCAATCTTTTTCTATACAGTTTTTCATTCATTGAAATGGTTGTTTTTACTTAAGATTTCAAAACAAAAGGGTAGGTTCCCTAAATTTTACTTTTTATATTTGAAACTCTTATGAATAGTTAGCTGTATATTTGTAATTTATATATTGATTGCAAACCAAGCTTTTGTTTGCACTATGTTACCTATAAGGATATTTAACTTCAAAAAGGTTTCTTGACCAAAAAATTTAAATTAATTACTGAGGGGATTTTTATTGTGTAAACATATATTCTATATTTTGATACAATCTAGAATTATTATTTTTAACATATTTAATATTTTCCAACTTCTCCCCCCCCCCTCTTTTCCGTTGCATGGTTGCCAAAATGTAAATTAAAACACACACTTCTTAGAAATTATTTTTGTGCACAGTATGAGGAAGGGTTGAAGGGCAACAACATCAGTTCTATATCCGAACAACATTCTCCTCAATTGATCATCCATACCACCTCCATAACCTCATCCCTACCTTTTTTCTCTTTTAAATGGCCAGGTCAAATCTAGGAAATTTTAAACAATCAGCCACTTAATGGCATAAATGAAATAATTAATTTTGGTAAATCAAAAAAAAATATTTAAATGGTATTATGCTCGACACGCTTGATTAGTACTCGGCGGTTTTTTTTAGGTAGGACAGGCATTTTTTGGTTTTAAGTAATCTTCATTCCTAGTATGAAATGCCACAAATTATTCCGAGTTCATAAAACTTTATTATTTTTTGTTAATTATCTCGAAAACCATAAAACTTTTCTTATTGGTTTGTTTCATAGAAAAATGAAAGGCAAAATATTTTGCTATTTATTTTGATTGATGGAAGTTAGTCATTACGTAGGCAAAAGAGATTTAATGTTCACCTAAAAAAATATTGACCTGTATTATCCCAAGTTTGAAAGCAAACACATAATTTAACTCATAAAACACTTGTACTTATTATGTATTAGAGGAGAATGTGGTTCGGATGTTGTAATGATATGGTTAGCATTCCATACCTCGTATGAGTATTAATGATCTTCCATAGGCTTAAATGGCCAAATTGGTTGTAAGTTCCATGTACTGGTGTTCGGGCGGCCTGGCTGTATGATTTTTCTCTTATTATCAAGAAAATACTGAAACAGTTTATTTCATCCCTACAAATTAGTATTTACTGAATTCCTTTAAAATTCGATCTAGATTTTTATGTCCTCATAAAGTATCATTTGCGAATAACCAATGTTGATGCAAGGAAAGTAAATTGCAGTTGCGTATACTCTGCGTACAAATGAAACCAGTTCTCTCTGGGCGGAATTTGTAAACAAAAATACATGCATCAGTGTTCGTTTTGTATCCGAGGAGGTTAAAAGCATTAAATTTTGATAATTTTGATAATTCACATAATAGTTTCCTTTAGAGCAGAATATTACATTGATTTTATATGTGAAAGATAGATCCCATGTCAGGCTTCGACATCCGTCTTGTGTTTACATTACCACCCAGAGACAGTACACTGCAATATAAAAGATACATACACCTCTGAAATAACTTTCCTTGAATTATAACCTTGCGAATAACCCTGTATATTTTAATTTGGGTCGTTCAACTACCTTAAATACGATCGGTTGTTAATTGCACACATACCCGATGCAAGATCTAATGGAATCATTTTGAACAAAAAGTTCAGAATAAAATGTGATAATTTTTTATATATTTATTTTAAACATTTAAGCATGTAACTTTGTAGATTAATAGATACATCTCTCAGCTATATAAACATAAGTTATATACTCTAGATCAACATGAAAATACGATGTGGTGTTTTTCTAGTGATGTTACGTTAAATTGATTGAAATGTTTTTGTTTGCTTGAATCAAGGAAAGTTGACCAGGAACCCCCAATACTGTATTTATAAGGAAATAAACCCATGTTCTTCCTAGAAATGTTGGTGACAAATGCATTGCAAATTAAATTTAGTGGTTTCTGTGCAGATTCCTTTTTTCAAACATTAAATTAGAACAAAGTTGTTGTACTCTCTATTGTACACTGTACACCTTCTCATGTACCTGCAGCTAATCTCCCACTATTAACCTGAACCGCAAGGAGTTGTCAATGTAATCCTATTGAAAGTGGCCCTAAATATATTAAACCCGCATAGAACAAACGACCCTGTTTTAGAGTCTGAAAACGACCCGCACGACCCCAAAAACTGGCGCCGGTCCGACTCTGTTTTAGTACTAATAAAAGAGTCGTTTTTAGACCGAAAAGACCCTGAATCCGTCTCTCCTCAAAACGGATGGGTGTCGGTTTACTTCACGGCAGGGGGCCATTATCTCCCTCAAGAGAAATTTGATATTTTTTTCCAAAAACAGAGGGTCGGAGGAGGTCGGCCCGGCGCCTAAGACTAGGTTCCCGACTCTAAGATTCTACTCGGGAAAGAACACACTTCAAATCATTTTTTTGAGAATGTTATAAACATCCACCACAAATCAATTTCTAGATAAGCAGCAGTAAATAAGTTTCAATTTTTGAGAACAAATAATAGAATAAATATCCTTATCATGTCTATGTTCTTTTATGGAAATTCTTGAAATGAAAGTGAACTATCCCATTTAAAGAAAAAAGTACATAACGCTCAACAGGATTCCTGATAACAAGGTTACGCTTTATTCGTTTTGGAAAAGTAGATGAGAAGGAGTACTGGTTAGTCATTGCTGTTTCAAAATAAGTGCCAATACAAATTATTGATCTGTTTATTGATATTGATTGATCGTTAAAAAGGTTATGATTGCCGAGAAGTACTTCTGCAGTGAAACGTAAAATTTTCTTATTACCAAACAATTAAAAAATGGATGTGAAAATGACAGGGAAGTTAGGAGTACCCCCCCCCCCACACCGGTCCAACCCAGTAAACGTGCTGTGCACCTTCTTTAAAAAGTTTCCTACCTTAACCTCTTAATCTCAATCGTCCATTATATTTCCATAATAATAGCTAACACGTTTACATGAAAGTAGATTGATATCCTTCATGGGGTGGGTGGATGGGCGTAAGAAGTAGCGAATTTGGTTTCAGATGTTTTTTATGTTCTGTGTTATTTTATTTTATTTTAAATACAGAATTGATATCCTCAGTAGGATGNGAGTTTGATTGCATGTCCATGTCATTTGTAAAGGAATGTTGTTATTTTATTTTTAGGACGTTAGTTCGAGTAAAAGTCGAAACCCTATAAATTTAGAAAAATAAGTAAATATCGTAGAATAAAGAAAAATCTGTCATTTCGTAATTCTTTTACAAATCTTTCCAAGAAATTTTTGCAATCTAAAAATAAAGATTAAGTATGCCTTCTGAATCTTTTCTTTTCGCCAAAAAACTGCCAAATGTGCTGTCCTTAAACATGATCAAGTTTGAGTGTGACCCCTGAGTGATAGGATGGATTATAATATTGATAGACGTGGAACCTGACAAAGTGAAATCATTTGCAAAGTTATTTATTTTTCAAAGCATAATAATATGCAAGAAGGATGCATAGGGGACACTTCATAGAAAGACATTTCCAGAAAAAGTACATTTCATAGACAGGACAATTCATAGAAAGGAAATTTCAAAGAAAGAGCATAACAGACAAATCATTTACTTTGACTAGAACAAACTAGCACTGCGGCTAGGACAGACTTGGTAAGTTGCCGGTTGGGAAATTGCTCAATTGAAATGTTGCCACTTGGGAAAATACACTTGGGAAGATCAATAAATTTCGTTTTTAGAGACTTCCCAAGTAAACATTTGTTGACTATAAATCTACCTTCTAACCCCCCCCCCCCCTCTATGTAATGTCGTCTTTACCAGCTTTTCCTCTCTGTGAAAATCCAAACCAAACCAATACTCCGGCAATTTCTCTGTATTCCGACAAAAGGGAAACATCAAATAGTAAAACGGTTTAACTAAGTGAATAATTAAATCTACAAATAACTTTGCAATCTATAGTAATTCCACTTTAAACAATCGCAGCTGCCAGGGTTCAAGACCTTCTGCGAAGAAAGAACGGAGACATAATTGGTGCTACTATGAACTACCGGAGGATGGAGCATCACCGTCAACAGACACCTCAACCTGCTGTACCCCTTCATTGGAGTAGAGAAACCACAGTCTCAGGAGCAGACTTGCGGCCTCACAGAAGATAGAGCAGTGGAGACCCTTGCCATCGAAGCAGGAACTCAGCTGGGAGCAGCTCAAGACAATCTCTACACTGTCCTCCAGTCATCACTCGGACTGATCTGAAATCACGTTCAAACCGTGAGCTCTGTTATATATTAGCCAACTAATTGTTATTTACCTTTATATGTTACAAAATGCTGAGAATAATTTCCATTCTTAATTACCAATGACAAATGAGCAAATTGTTACTCAAAACATCAATTTCAATTTTATTTTTATTTTTTTATTAACCAACTATATAGCCAATATAACATCTTATTGTCGACGCCCCGCGCCTAAGCTTCTACAACATTATAAAAATCATTTTAGAAAGGTTTCTATATGCATCGCTATTTGAATACCTAATTACCTGAATTCCTAAATACACAAACACACCCAAATTTTTACGCTCAGCAGTTAGGAACCCTAGTAGTGTAAAAATTGAATAAAAAACTTTGACCATGTTTTTTAAGAAAGGAGAATGGACGTGAAAGTAATGAAAAAAAAACTTGTTTTTAACATAAAAATGCAAAGGTTAAAACAGCGAGTATTTGTAGCTAGGGTTTTTAACAGCTGAGCGTACAAAATTTGGGTGTGTTTGTGTATTTAGGTATTCAGGTAATTAGGTATTCAAATAGTGATGCTTCTATATGACAGTGTGATTTTATAAATCTACAAATAAGCTGACATGGATAAAAATTTAAAATAAGAGTAAAAGTTTACAAAATGTTTAAAATTGCAACAGGAAAATCTGGCCTCAGCAAATTATGCAACACTGATCTAAATTTCACTTTTTTCCTGTAGCGAAAAAAGACAACATTCGAATTAATTGTCAATCACAAGAAAATGAACAAATTAGTCACTTACTTAATACTCTAAACTGTGGGAAAAGAGAAGATCGATAAAAATAAAGATAAGATGAAAAGAATAACATGACCAGCAGTGGCATACATAGGGGGGGGGGG